CTGGCACCCTCAGGACGCAGGGCAGGCCTCTGTCCACTCTGCATCTGTACGTCCCTCCCTGGTCACGGGTTCTCAGGGGCAGGCTCTTTTCCTACAGAAAGGAAACAAGGGAAGCTGACCTTTCCCACCTCGGGACAAAAGTTGGAAGGACAGGTGCCTTGTGAGCCTGGAGGCCTCGGGAGGCGTGTCCCTTTCCTTGTCCCCTCCCCACCACCACCACCAGTGGACAGGGGTCACTAAGAGAGTGGGGTTGGGAGATGGGTCTGCCCTGGGTCTGTGAGAACGTCACCTTGGAGTGCCCTTCCCTATGGGTGTTGGGGTCGGATGGGTTTTCAGCCTGGCCAGGTCTGGCTGCTTCCCCTCAGGAACAGGCTTAGACTGTGCTGCCACGTTTATGCCGGTCCTTGCTCCAGCCTGAAGGGAATGGTCCGGGAAAGGAGGGGCTGATTCTGAGCCAAACCCCTAAGTGAACTGCCCTCTGCGTCCAAACCAACTCCCCGCAGACTCCGACCAGGGCCTCGCCACTGCCCTCCCTGTGCCCCCAGCCCAGGCTGCAGGAACTGTCAGCTGTTTAGCCAGCAGAAGCGGTGATGATGCAGGTGTTCCCAGCTGTTAGTGTATAAGCCCTGCCCGGCCACGTCCACAGCAAGTGCCAACGGGGAGAGGAGGCAGCAGAGGTGTGCCGAGGGGATCCCCAAAGGGGACGGCCCAGGCTGGACAGCTCTGATGGGGCAGGGGCACTCCAGGAGACAGCAGGCTTTGCCCCTCCTCCTCTTCCACCACCCCCCACTCCCACCCCATTTTCCCGGATCAGGAAAAGGCAGGTCAGGGCCCTGGGGAACAGGAAGTGAAGCCGGCTTCCAGCAAGGTGCCTGCCAAGGTGCCTGCCGGGGCCTGGAGAAAATTCCTGCAGGCCTGAGCCTGTCTCAGAAGCACCAGTTCCTCTCCTTGTCCTGATGTCCTGCTTTCTGAGTTTCCCTTGAGGATGGGGGGGCTGTCACTCTCTCCACTCTCTGTCCCACTTCCTCGCCCACTCTCATGGAACACTCAGCCTCTGGGCCCTCACACCTTTCTATGTTGGTTCCCCTTCCCACCAGCTTCCTCTCTGAAAAGTATATAGGAGGCCAGGTGTGGTGGCTCACATCTGTAATCCCAGCACTTTGGGCGGGCGGCCAAAGTGGGTGGATCAAAAGGTCAAGAAGTTCGAGACCAGCCTGAGCAACCTGGTGAAACCCCGTCTCTACTAAAAATATAAAAATTAGCTGGGCATGGTGGTGGGCACCTGTAATCCCAGCTACTCAGGAGACTAAGGCAGGAGAAGCACTTGAACCTGGGAGGCGGAAGTTGCAGTGAGCTGAGATCATGCCACTGCACTCCAGCCTGGGCAACAGTGAGACTCCATCTCAAAAACAAAAAAAAGAAAAGAAAAGTGAAGGGGATAGAGCCCATCAGGGATCATCAAGGTGGGGGACAGGCAGCAGGTTCCTACAGGAAGAAAACCCTAAAACTCCTGGTTCTGGTTGTTCCATTATTTATGACATCTCACTGTCTTGCTCACTGGAGTACAGTGGCTCCATCTCGACTCACTATAATCTCTGTCTCCTGGGTTCAAGCAATTCCCATGACTCAGCCTCCTGAGTAGCTAGGATTATAGGCTCACGCCACCAGGCCTAAGATTTGTATTTTTAGTAGAGACCAGGTTTCACTATGTTGGCCAGGCTGGTCTTGAACTCCTGATCTTAGGTGATCTGCTGGCCTCAGCCTTCCAAAGTGCTGGGATTAAAAGTGTGAGCCACCGTACCTGGTCATCTCATACTTTTAAAATACAGTTTTTGGTGTAAGTTTTACAATATACATTCCATATTTGTCAAGTGATAACTTCTGTGTAACTTATAAAATACACGCAATTCAGGAGGATTGTGCTAAAATACATTTAACCAATGGGAATATGTGGTCAAAGTATTTTGGCAAACAAGGATCAGCAGAATTTTTTTCTGTAAAGGATCAGGTAGGCGATATGTCAGGCTTTGTGGCCATATGGCCTCTGTGGCAGCAACTCAGTTCCGCAGTTCCTCATGAAAGCAACCACAGATAAGAGGTAATTGAGTGGGTGTGGCTTTGTTCCAATAAAACTTTATTTCTGGAGGCTGAAATTTGAATTTCAGAGAAATTTCATGTGTCACGAAATATTATTCCACTTTTGGTTCTTCTCACCCCCCCACCACCCTCCACCAAGCATTAAAGAATGTGGAATCCATTCTTAGCAGCCGGCTGTGGGCTGGATTTGGTCCATGGACCATCGATTCCCAGCTTCTGCTCTAGACCACTGGTTCTCAGTTCTCAGAATTGAGCCTGCTTCAGACTTACTTGGGGAGCTTTTTTCCAAAATGCATATTCCAGGACTCCAGCCCTGATTTTGTAGATTCTCAGAAAGGTCCCAGAACCTGCAGTCTAACAAGGAGCCCAGCTGAGTCAGACATAGGTAGTCTGGAGACCACATTTTTGTTGTTGTTAAGAATTTTGCTCTTGTTGCCCAGACTAGAGTGCAATGGCTTGATCTTGGCTCACCTCAGCCCCCGCCTCCTGTGTTCAATCAATTCTCATGCCTCAGCCTCCCAAGTAGCTGGGATCACAGGCCTGTGACACCACACCCAGCTAATTTTTGTATTTTTAGTAGAGACAGGGTCTCACCACGTTGGCTAGGCTGGTCTCGCACTCCTGACCTCAAGTCATCCACCTGCCTTGGCCTCCCAAAGTTCTGGGATTACAGGCAGAGCCACTGCCCCAGCCTTACCACTTGCTTTTCTTGTGGCATAGTTCTTGCTGCAGACACACTCAATACATGCCTCAAACCCCACCTGAGATACAGGTGCCTGGGACTAGCTATCTTGACTTTTCCCTTGTCCCATATGGACCCAGGGGCTGGGGCTGGGCTGGCCCAGGTGAGGCTAGAGCAGCTGGATCCAGGCACATGAGGTGTGAAGCTGTGGGCCTTATGCCACATGCAGTACCTGGAGGAAGGAGAGTGGGGGCCAGGGTGCCGCAGGGCAGGGTGCCAAGAGGGTCAGACTGCTGAAAGCATGGGGAGTCACTCATGATTCCCCAGGGTCTGGCTCTAGGGCTGAGATCCAGGAGACATGGGCATGCCTGTCTTTGGGAATCTGGCACAGCCCTAGAAAGCCATCTGGACAGTTTTCACACCTGAGGGGAGGAAAGGGCTGGTGTCCAGAGAAGCTGCCCCAAGGGATGGAGGGTGGAGGGAGCCTGGGGCCAGTCAGGATCTGGGTCTACAAGAAACTCCAAGGCTTGTGTCCTGGTCCCACCGTGGAACTCAGCCTGAAAAAGACAAGGTGGATGAATGACCGTTTCTCTCTGGCTCAGTTGGGTAAGAGGACTAGGCTGGGGCTGAGGCTCTCAACACAAAGGGGCCAGTTGACCCTGAGGTTTCTTTCTGGTGGTGGGGGTGGGGCTACCTCTGTCTGATCCTGCTTAGGGCTCTGATGGAGGTGGCAGGGGCTCTGGTTCCCCCAGACTGGCCAAGTCCTCTACCACAGCATCCAAGGGGTCTGGGCAGAGTGCAGCTTCCCACCCCTCCCCAGCTTGGCTGGGTGGGCACCTGCCTCCCCTGCCCTCCTGGCCTCAATGGCTGATGCAGCCAGCCCCAGGCAGGCACAGTCATAGCCCTCGAACAGCATGAGGCCCCACTCAAGACTCCTGAGTGCTGGTGGTCAGGGTGGGGGGCACTGTGGGGCAAGAGGCAAACTTGAGGGGTTGGAGCCTCACATCCTCACCTAGTGGGGTGGTCCTGAGGGGTATGACTTATTTGGGCCTCTGCCCATTTTTGGAATCTGACAAGAGAAGGAGCCCATCTCTAAGACAATGACCCGCCTTCAGGGAGGGTCTGGCATGTTTTGTCTCTAAAGATGGTTCTCAGCAGAGCACCCCAGGCTGCAACTTTTGAGGCATCTTGTACACGAAAGGCAGAATCACCTATTGATTAAGAGCAAGGCTCTGGAATCTGTGATCTTGGGCCACTCCCTTCACTTATCATGGCCTTTGCTTCCTTCTTGCCTGTTACATGGGTCTGCAATCTACCCCTCAGAGGCGCTGAGGAGCTCATGTGAGCCTGTGTCATGAAACACCTAGCACAGCCCTGGCATGCAGTGAGAGTTGGGAGACAGGAGCCGCTGCTGTTACTGTTGACCAGGGAGAAACAGCAGCCCATGCCCCTGCCGCAGGCATATAAAAGTGACCACTTGGCTGGGTGTGGGGACTCACACCTGTAATTCCAGCACTTGGGGTGGTCGAGGCAGGTGGATCACCCAAGGTCATTGTTTGAGACCAGCCTGGCCAACATGATGAAACCCTGTCTCTAATAAAAATGCAAAAAATTAGCTGGGCACGGTGGCGCGTGCCTATAATTCCAGCTACTCAGGAGGCTGAGGCAGGAGAATTGCCTGAACCCAGCAGGTGGAGGTTGCGGTGAGCTGAGATCGCACCATTGCACTCCAGCCTGGGTAACAAGAGCGAAACAAACTCCGTCTCAAAAAAAAAAGCAAAAAATTAGTCCGGTGTGGTGGCTTGTGCCTGTAATCCAGCTACTCAGAAGGTTGAGGCAGGAGAATCGCTTAAACCTGGGAGGCAGAGGTTGCGGTGAGCTGAGATCATGCTGAGATCATTTCTCAAGAAAAATAAAAAGTGACCACTCACTTCGGTCTAATTCTTTAGTTCGAATGACCCTTTTACATCGGTTATTTCATTGCATTCCCCAGCAATCCCTGAGGGAGACACTGGTGTCCCATTTTGCAGAGGTGAAAACTGAGGCGTGGCAAAGTTGGGTAGTTTGTCCAAGGGCACACAGCTGGTGCTTCCGGAGCAAGACCTGGCTTTCTCTATCCAAAGCCATTGGGGAGTCTCCCATCCCAGGATCTTGAGGGTCATGGGAAGGAACTGGGTGGTTTTCGGTGGGGTCCTTCACCCAGTGCCGCCTGACCTTGCAGATAAAATACCATGAAGAGTTTGAGAAGAGCCGAATGGGCCCTAGCGGGGGTGAGGGCATGGAGCCAGAGCGCCGGGACTCCCAGGACAGCAGCAGCTACCGGCGGCCCCTGGAGCAGCAGCAGCCCCACCACGTCCCAACCAGTGCCCCAGGTGAGCACGGGGCCTGCTGGGGCAGATGACCGGAGGCCAGGCCAGTGGCGTGGGGAAGAAGCCAGAGAGAAGACAGACACGCAGTATACACATACATGCACACCCTCACACACATGTGCGGGGACAGAGGACCTGAGGCCAGGCCAGTGGGGTGGGGAGGAAGCTGGAGAGACACACACACACACACGTGCACACACATGCACGCACATGCACACAGACATGGAAAGGACTGCTTCCCAAGTTCCATCCAGCATGAGGGCGTGAGCCCCAGGGTCAGACCTGTGCTAGGCCAAGGGGATTGAAGGAGAGGCCCCGGGTATGGGCTCAGAGCCCACCTCCCTGCCCTCTGGGGCTTACATTCCAGTCAGGAGGACAAACAAGAAAGCAGTTAGAAAATAGATATAGAACATAAGGTCAGCGGTGACGCACGCTGTGAATAGAAACACAGCAGGGTGAGGGATGGGCAGACAGTAGCCACATTAGCGGTGGCTCATGCCTGTAATCCCATCACTTTGGGAAGGCTAGGCAGGTGGATTGCTTGAGGTCAGGTAGGATATACCACAGGCAAATGTGCACCTGTGGTCATCAGCCTTTGAGCCGTGGGGCTTGAGCCGGGTTGAGGGTGGGGTAGAAGTGCATGGTGTGGGCTTCTTGGGGGCTCTGGGAGGGGCTGGGTTTGGCAGGACAGTTTCCGAGCCCCGTCTCCTCCCATCTTCCAGTTTACCAGCAGCCCCAGCAGCAGCTGACGGCCCAGTCCTATGGGGGCTACAAGGAGCCTGCAGCCCCAGTCTCCGTACAGCGCAGCGCTCCAGGTGGAGGAGGGGTGAGTAACCCTGGCTGGAGGGGAGAGGCCAGAGGCAGTGGGGCCTCAGGGAAAGCTTGGACGCAGGTCATGGGTTCGCCTGACCTTCACGCCCGCCCCCTGTTGTGTGTGGTGATGAGGATCTCAGCCTGGTGAGCGGAGGGGAGGGTGGTTGGTGTCATGGGCAGAGGCTGGCTGGGGCTGGGGCTCTGTGTTCCAGCCCTGGTGTGCCATGGGCAGGTGGCTCCCCCTGCTCTGGGCAGGGTTTCCTTACCCCAGCTACCTGAGAACACACGAGGCGCCTTTCTGTATGGGGCTTTCCAGCCCTGGGCACTGCTCCCTCAATTCCTGAGGATGCCACCTCACCTCTCAGCTCTCAGGCTGCCCCTGCCTCTGAGGGGCCTCCCCAGCCAGGCCCGTTAAAGCGCGTCACCCTGATGCTTTGCATCACTCAGCCCCCACTGGCTGCCTTCAGAGCACTTTTTCCAACTGCAAAGAGCTCTTTATGTTGGTCACCTTCTCTGTGTCCCCTGCTACGCTGACCCCTGGCAGGGTCCCTCTGGGGTCACCTATTCTGAGCCAGGCCCGGAGCAAGTGAATGAGCTCAGGCAGGAATGGGGACGGGGGTCAGGCTTCCTGAGCCCTCAGAGCTGAAGTCCTGTCTCACCCCACCCATGGGGTGAGCCACTCTTACCAAGCTCCTGGCAGGCTCAGCGCCTCCAGGTTGGGTGCCTGGGAATTCAAAGTAGCTCAGTAGGAGCAGAACAGATACTTAGAGAGAGAAAATCGCATGAGACAGTGGTGGGCTGGACCCTCATGCGCTGGGCACACAAACAGAGGGATGTCAGGACTGCCTGGGGCGCTGTGGGCGCAAGAGCTGGTCTGAAGGAAAGGTTCCTGGCAGCCCAGTCAGTCCTTCCCTCCTCAGTGGGTCTGTCCTGGATGTGTGGGGTCCATCTGAATATAAAGCCACCTCCCTGCCCTCTGGGGCTTACATCCCAGTCAGGAGGACAAACGAGAAAGCAATTAGAAAATAGGTACAGAAGTAAGGTCAGCGGTGACGCACGCTGTGAATAGAAACACAGCAGGGTGAGGGACAGACAGTAGCCGCATTAGCGGTGGCTCATGCCTGTAATCCCAGCACTTTGGGAGGGCTAGGCAGGTGGATTGCTTGAGGTCAGGTGTTCGAGACCAGCCTGGCCAACATGGTGAAACCCCCTGTCTACCAAAAATACAAAAATTACCTGGGTGTGGTGGCATGTGCCTATAATCTGCAATCCCAGCTACTCAGGAAGCTGGGGCAGGAGAATCTCTTGAACCCAAGAGGCAGAGGTTGCAGTGAGCCAAGATCAAATCACTGCACTCCATCCTGGGTGACAGAGCAAGACTCCTTCTCCAAAAAGAAAAAAAAAACGATATAGGCTGGGCATGGTGGCTCACACCTGTTAATCCCAGCACTTTGGGAGGTGGGTGGCTCACCTGAGGTCAGGAGTTCAAAACCAGCCTGGCCAAAATGGTGAAACCCTGTCTCACTAAAAATATAAAATCAGCTGGGTGTGGTGCATGCCTGTAATCCCAGATACTTGGGAGGCTGAGGCAAGAGAATCTGAACCCGGGAGCTGGAGGCTGCAGTGAGCCAAGATCGAACCATTTGCATTTCAGCCTGGGCAACAAGAGGGAAACTCCAGCTTAAGAACACACAAAAAAGACATGACATTTGAGAAAGTCCTCGATAAACGAAGGAGTGAGCTGAGGACAGCAAGTGCAAAGGCGCTGAGGCAGGGATATTCTAGGAAAGTTCACAGAGCAGCAGGAAGGCCAAACTGATTATGCAGTTAAGGTCCGATTATGCAGGGACTTGTGGGCCCCAGGAAGGCCTCTGGGACCTGTGATCTGTTTAGACCAGTGTAGGGTTTTGGAAGATCACCCTGGCAGCTGTGTTGAGAAGAGGCAGTACTTGAGGGTAGAAGCAGGGAGACCATCAGGAGGCCTTTGGAGGATATAGGCGTGGATGGCAGTGGCTCGGCCCAAGATGAAGGCCGAAGTGGTGATGAGAGAGACTGAGATCACTTCATGAGAGGTGTGGCCACTTATCCTATAGACCTGTTGGTTTTCAAACTGTCCTGTAGAGCCTCAGAGACAAGTCAAGGGCAGTGAAGGTCAGGGGAGGTGGAATGTTGCCTGCATTTCAAAAAGAAATATAGGATTTCTTTTTTTTTCTCTCTCTCCTTTTTTTTAAACTCCATCCTGGTAGTAGGTGACGCTGTGGGATTTTGTGTGCCCTACTGGACATGACCTAGATGATCTAGGGCTTCAGTGGCAGATTTTGACTGAGGCTTGGAAGGTGGAACCTGATAGACACCTCTTTTGTCCCCTGAAGATTTTTCTCCCACGGAAAGGTCTTCGTCCTGAACTTCGAAGTCTTCTCCCAGACTCATCATGGCTTTTTTTTTTTTTTTTTTTTAATTGAGACGGAGTTTTGCTCTTGTTACCCAGGCTGGAGTGCAATGGCGCAATCTTGGCTCACTGCAACCTCCGCCTCCTGGGTTCTGGCAATTCTCCTGCCTCAGCCTCCTGAGTAGCCGGGATTACAGGCACATGCCACCATGCCCAGCTAATTTTTTGTATTTTTAGTAGAGACAGGGTTTCACCATGTTGACCAGGATGGTCTCGATCTCTTGACCTCGTGATCTACCTGCCTCGGCCTCCCAAAGTGCTGGAATTACAGGTGTGAGCCACCGCACCCGGCCTCATCATGGCTTCTAAAAGAAACTACTGGTGCGGCAGCGCGCTGTGGCTCACACCTGTAATCCCAGTACTTTGGGAGGCCGAGGCGGATGGAATGCCTGAGGTCAGGAGTTTGAGACCAGCCTGACCAACATGGTGAAACCCTGTCTCTACTAAGAATAGAAAAATTAGCTGGGCCTGGTGGTGCATGCCTATAATCCCAGCTGCTCGGGAGGCTGAGGCAGGAGAATCGCTTGGACCCAGGAGGCGGAGGTTGCAATGATCAAAGATCACGCCATTGCACTCCAGTCTAGGTGACAAGAGCAAGACTCCGTCTCAAAAAAAGAAAGAAAGAAAGAAACTGTTGGTGCTTATAATCATACAAATAATAGCACACAGGGCATGCTTTTTCTTTTTTGAGATAGGATCTTGCACTGTTGCCCAGGCTGGAATGTAGCAGTGGTGCAATCACAGCTCACTGCAGCCTCAACCTCCTGGGTTCAAGTGATCCTCCCACCTCAGCCTCCTGAGTAGCTGAGACTACAGGCATGTACCACTAAGCCCAGCAAATTTCTTATTTTTTGTAGAGATGGGCTCACGCCTAGCACTTTGGGAGGCTGTGGTGGATGGATCACTTGAGGCCAGGAGTTTGAGACCATCCTGGCCAACATGGTGAAACCCTGTCTCTACTAAAAATACAAAAGTTAGCCAGGCATGTTGCCTATAGTCCCAGCTACTTGGGGGGCTGAGGCAGGAGAATCACTTGAACCCAGGAGGCGGGATGTTGCAGTGAGCTGAGATCATGCCGTTGCACTCCAGCCTGGGTGACAAAGCAAGACTCCATCTCAGAAAGAAAAGGGGTCTCACTGTGTTTCCCAGGCTGGTCTCAGACTTCTGGGCTCAAGCAGTTGTCATGCCTTGGCCTCCCAAAGTGCTGGGATTACAGGCATGAGCCACCATGCCTGGCCTGTGGGTCATGTTTAGACACTACTTTGGCATCATGGCTGGTGGACCTTACTGCAGTCCTGTTCAGTGAGGTGGGGCAGAGCCAATGTGACCTCAGTCCCTGCCCTGCCTCTGGCCCTTAGTAACTGCCAAAGCTTATAAAAGATCGACAGCTCTCAGTAAGCAAGCAAGACAAAGAGGTGAGAATCTTTGTAGCAGAGGCTGGGGCCCTATTTCTGAGTTCACTGCTACCCTAGGCTCTGTTCCAGGGTCCTGGAGCGTTAGACCCAGGTGAGCCGGCATCCAGGGCCCTAGGCTGACTGAACTTCCCCCACAGAAGCGGTACCGCGCGGTGTATGACTACAGCGCCGCCGACGAGGACGAAGTCTCCTTCCAGGACGGGGACACCATCGTCAACGTGCAGCAGATCGACGACGGCTGGATGTACGGGACGGTGGAGCGCACCGGTGACACGGGGATGCTGCCGGCCAACTACGTGGAGGCCATCTGAGCCCGCGGTGCCCCCCACCTGTCTTCAGCGCATTCCATGGCATCGCATCCGTCCTGGGTGTGCCCTGTCCATTCTTCAGTGTCTCTGTTTTTTAAACCTGCAACAGCTTGTGATTCCTACCCCTCCTCCAGCTTCTTTTGCCAACTGAAGCCTTCTGCCACTTCCGCGGGCTCCCTCCTCTGGCAGGCATCCCCCTTGACCGACTTCTTGATTTTCTCTCTGGATGGAACAGGCCTGGGCCTCTCTGGGGGTGGGCGAGGCCGGGGTGTGCGGCTGGAATGGGAGACCTGCGGGCCTCTGGGCCTTGCCTGCCTCTCTGTTCTCTCCCTTCACGTCCTTCTGCCCAGCTCCTCACACACCCACACATTCCAGGACTGGGGTGAGCCTGAGACTCCCAGGACCCCAGGGCAGGGGCTCCCCACGTTCCCCAGAGTGGGATCTGTGTGTAGGCTCCTGCGATGGTGACAGGGGTTCCTTTGTTGTGTAGGGACCAGTGCGATGGGCTCTACCTCTCCTTCTCAAAGAGGGGGCTGCTGCCCACCCTGGGTCTCTCCCCACCTTCTCCCTCAGGGGCAGCAGCAGGAGAATGGGGTCCCTGCTGCGGGGTGCCTTCCTCCCCTCCCGGCGCGTTCCTTCGCACACTGTGATTTTGCCCTCCCGCCCACGCAGACCCGTACTGGGCAAAGAGCTCCCCAGGAAGCACAGCTTGGGTCAGGTTCTTGCCTTTCTTAATTTTAGGGACAGCAACCGGAAGGAGGGGAACAGGGAGTTCTTCCCCGCAGCTCCTTTCCCCATACCCACCCCCAGTCTCAAGGGCCCCTGCCTGCCTCCCAGGCTGGAAGCGTGGTCCTGAGGCGTGGGGCAAGGGTGACTTCGGGCCATTTGGTCTTCAGCCTCCCTCAGCCCCCAGGATCTGAGGTAGGCAGCAGCTCCAGCCTGCTTCTCATAGGAAGATGTCTCAGAGCCTTCCGTGGCCTCCCCTCCCCAGCACAATGCCAAGTGGGCCTGGAGCTGCACAGAGCCAGCAGGGACCACTGTATCTCCAAGACCTGGTGTGCAGAGGCAGGAGCATGTATGTCTGCAGGTGTCTGATGTGCAAGTGTGTGAGTGTGAGTGTGAGCGTGAGAGATGGGCAGGGGCATGTCTGTAGATGTCTCTGGGCCTGTGTGTGGCTGGGGGTATGTGCGGTACGAAGAGCCGTCCTCCCCTAAGAGTTTCCTCAGAACCCGCAGCAAGAGGGGAGGGCTCCTGGGGAAGAGAAGTTCCTCCTTCCCCGTATCTTGGAGTGGGGGCAGCCCACCAGTCTGCCCTTTGCAGCGTGCAGGGTGGAAGGTGAGGGGTTGGCGTGGAGTTGCTGGGGCTGCCGCCTCCCGGGGAGGGGAAGGTGGTGCTCTGTCCAGCTCCTGCTCTCTGCTCAGGGGTGGCTGCAACAACCCTGGCCTCACTCGTTTCATCTCTGGTTTTCTTGCCACCCCCTGGAAGTCCCCATCCCATCTTCACCCTGAGCCCAACCAGGTCCCCCTGCTGGGGGAAGGCTCTGTCACTCCAGGCATATTTTCCCCCATCTCCGTGTCTGGGCTGCAGAATAGGGTGCCAGAAGGACCCTGTGTCACCCACAGTGTGTGTCCCTCTGGGGGCTCTTCCCCTAGACCCCTCTCACTTACGTAAAGCTTCCTTGAAGCAAGAAAGAGGGTCCCAGGGCTGCAAAACTGGAAGCACAGCCTCCGGGCCGGGGAGGGGAAGGTGGTGCTCTGTCCAGCTCCTGCTCTCTGCTCAGGGGTGGCTGCAACAACCCTGGCCTCACTCGTTTCATCTCTGGTTTTCTTGCCACCCCCTGGAAGTCCCCATCCCATCTCCACCCTGAGCCCAACCAGGTCCCCCTGCCATTGGCCTCTTCTCCCTGCACTCTTGTACCCACAGGTGAGGGGCAGGACCTGCAGGTTTTGGCCTGTTCAACAGTTAGTCATCGTGGGTGTTTTGTCAACTGCTTGTGAATTGATGTGGGGATACCTGCCCTACATCAGAAGTTGAGGAAAAGACGGTGGGTGAGGAGGCCCTGCCTAACCAGTCCCTTTTCCTTTCTTGGCCTGTCTAGGTGGAGGCAAGTGGAATATCTTATCTTGGGCAGTGTGGGGGCTGGGGGAGGCAGAGGATCCCTTGGGAGTCTTGGGTGGCACTGGTGCATTCTGTTTCCTCTTGATCTCAAAGCACAATGTGGATTTGGAGACCAAAGGCCAGGGACACATCCCCTTAGAGGACCTGAGTTTGGGAGAGGGGTGAGTGCAGGGGAGAAGCAGCAAAAAGCAGCCTGTTGTCACTCGGCTTAATTTTCCTTCCCAGACAAGGCGAGTCAGTCATGGAATCTTGCTGCAGGCCCGCCCTCTACTCTTCCCGTCCTAAAAATAGGGGCCGTCTTCTTACACACCCCCAGAGAGAGGAGGGGACCGTCACACTGGTGCTGAGGGACCCAGGGGCTGCTGGGTGCCTGCTTCTTACCAGAACCATCAATCCCTAGTAGAGCACAGAGCCCTGAGGGCTGGGCTGGGCTGGGCTGGGCTGGGCCGGGCCCCTGGTCTTCTCTACAGTTCACAGAGCTCTTTCCACCCATTTAATCCCAGGAGAGATGCATCCAAGCCAGAATGTGAATATAACTTTTGTGGACCAATCATAAGAATAACCAGAAGCCCGGTGGTGACAGAGTGCTTTCTCCCAGCACGGCCTCCTGTTTCCTCCCTCTCGTGTCCCTCCAGGGAAAATGGCTTTATTGCTTAATTTCCAATGCACTTTTGGGCCTTTTTTTATAGCTGGAAAAAACAAAATACCACCCCACAAACCTGTATTTAAAAAGAAACGGAAACGACCAAGTGAAATTTGCCTCTGTCCAGACATTTCATCCGTGTGTGTGTGTCTGTGTGTGTGTGTGCGAAGCCACATCCATCTTTTTATATGGGGTTGTTGTCTCATTTCGGTCTGTGTTGGTCCCCTCCCTCATGGGCTTGTGCTCGGGATCAAACCTTTCTGGCCTGTTATGATTCTGAACATTTGACTTGAACTGCAAGTGAATCTTTCTCCTGGTGACTCAAATAAAAGTATAATTTTTACCTGAAGACTTGGTTTCTTCTCTCTGGCTCTGAGGTGCTGCTGTGTGTGTGTGTGTGTGTTTGTATATATGTGTATCTAGCAGTGAGGCGCTGCTGCGTGTGTGTGTGTGTGTGTGTGTGTGTGTGTGTCTTGTCTAGGGGGCTGGCTCTGAGGTTCTGAGGTGTGTGTATGTGTAGCTGTGAGTTGCTATGTATGAGTGTATTTAGCCAGGAGGTGTTGCTCTCTTGTGTGTGTGTCCCATCTGCTGGGGGCACTGGCCTATGGCCCTCCTGGGAGCTCTGCTGCCCCTCAGGGAGAGAATGACTTGTCTGGATGCCAAGGGACGGTTTGCTGCTGTCTGACAGGCCCTTGCCCTTTCTCCTTGCTGAGAACTCCCACCAACCTACTTCTGGCTTCCCACCCAATCTCCTCTCTGCCAACTTGGTGATGCTTTGGGAAGCTTCCCTGAGCTCCATCTCCTTACTGTCTCCCTACTCGCCAGAGCCCCTGGGGCAGGCGATGAGTCTAATCATCTCTGAATCTCCTACCTGCCCAGGAGCAGGTGCGGAGCTGTTGAATTAATGAATGAGCTCAGCTGGGGAGCAGTTCTAGCACTCTGCCGCTGCCAGGCAGCGAGCAGGAGCTCTGTGTTTGAGGCATGAGATGACAGAACGCCCCGCAGTGGGACAGGATCTGCATGAAGCTGTGTGTAAGGTGGCCCGGCTGCCCATGGCACTGTTCACAGTGCCTTTGGGATGTGATCTTGAACACACCTCCTTTTATTCCTTCTTCCTGGCAACCCTGTGAGAGAAATAACTGCTTATGGAGGTGGGACTCACTGAGGCCCAGAAAGGCAGAGCAGATTGGTGACAGTCCACAGTGTGGCAGAGCAGGGCCTGAGACCCCCCCCACGTGGCGCTCCTGGTCTGGTGCTGTGCCGTCTGGCCGGGGCAGGCCATGTGCCTGTGTCCTTGGCAGGCCTCAGATGTGTGTCTCTTGAGCTCCACATTTTGCTCCATGTGCCCAGGGTCTGTGACTGGCCAGAAGGCTGGGCGGCCTCCCCTCTTGCTCAGTGGGCTTGGGAAGAGGACAGAGGCAGAAAGGGGAATCTGGCCCCACTCGGTGCTGCCCATCAGCCTCAGGTCCAGCCGCTCAATTGCATTTCCTCTTGGGGCTCAGAACGAAAGCACTCTCCAGCCTCAGAATCACAGCAGGGTGGAGAGGAGGAGGGCTCTCCTGAGCTAAGCGTGAGGCGGCCAGAGTCAGCCCAGCTGGGGCTGGGTGGGGAGCACTTGAGGTGGCCCTGGGTGGTTATTTAGAGACAGCACTGACTCCTACTCCCCTCCAGGGGTGCAGGCAGCCTGATACTTTCCCAATAGAAGGAAGTTAGTTGGCAAGCTTGCCTCAAGGCCCACCCCACTCCCCAGGAGGCTCCATTCACCCTCAGAGCTACTTGACAGAGTAGTCTTTTTGAGGGCACTGCTGCCGGGTCTCCACTCCCTGCTCACAGAAAGCTCTGCCTCCTGGGATTGGCCAGTGGGAGGAGTTTCTGGACCCCCTTCTGGCAGTGGCCTAAGTTCCTGAGGTCTAGCATTATGAGGGGGTTACCAATACCAAACCCCCAGGCCTTTCAAAAAATACTATTTGGGGTAGGGGCCAAGGAGACTAGGCCTCAATGTCCTAGGGAATTTTTAAAAATTAATAGGAAATAATTGAGGCTTATGAAAAGGCACAAGACATAACTGAGTTTAAAACATTATAAAGCCAGGCTCATGGCTCATGCCTGTAATATCAGCACTTTGGGAGGCCAAGGCAGGTGGATCGCTTAAGCTCAGGAGTTTGAGAGCAGCCTGGGCAACACCACAAGACTCTGTGTTGGTTTGTTTGTTTTTTAATTTTTTTATTGCATTTTAGGTTTTGGGGTACATGTGAAGAACATGCAAGATAGTTGCATAGGTACACACGTGGCACCGTGATTTGCTGCCTTCCTCCCCTTCACCTATATCTGGCATTTCTCCCCATGCTATCTCTCCCCAACTCCTTGTGTCCATGTGTTCTCATTGTTCATCACCCGCCTGAGTGAGAACATGCGGTATTTGATTTTCTGTTCTTGCATCAGTTTGCTGATATCCAGAATTTACAAAGAACTAAAACAGATTTACAAGAAAAAAAGCCCATACTGGCCAGGCTGGTCTCAAACTCCTGACCTCATGATCCACCCACCTCGGCCTCCCAAAGTGCTGGGATTACAAGCGTGAGCCACCATGTCCAGCCTCAAGACCCTATCTTTACAAAAACTATAAAAATTAGCCAGATCTGGTGGTGTGTGCCTGTAGTCCCTGCTACTTGGGAGGCTGAGGCAGGAGGATTGCTTGTGTCAGGGAGGTTGAGTTGGCAGTGAGCTATGGTTGCGTCACTGCACTCCAGTCTGGGCGATGGAGTGATTTTTTTTTTTATTTGAGATGGAGTCCTGGTCTGTTGCCTAGGCTGGAGTGCTGTGGTGCGATCTTGGCTCACAGCAACCTCTGCTTCCTGGGTTCAAGCGATTCTCCTGTCTCAGCCTCTCCAGTAGCTGAGATTACAGGCATTGGCCACCATACCTGGCTAGTTAGGATGGGGTTTCACCGTCTTGGCCAGGCTGGTCTCCAACTCCTGACCTCAAGTGATCTGCCCGCCTTGGCCTCCCAAGGTGCTGGGATTACAGGTGTGAGCCACTGCACCCAGCCGTGATTTTTTTTTAACTATTGTCTTTTCCCCGTTAGAAGAAACCACTGGAATTTTTTTTTTTTTTCAGGGATGGCCCTTGAGAATTCTTCAGTGTCCTCTCTGGATAACACTATGCTGAGCTTTTGGAAGAGGACACCAAAGAAAACAAAAGTAGGCTCGGCGCTGTGGCTCACACCTGCAATCCCAGCACTTTGGGAGGCCAAGGTGGGAGGATCGCTTTAGTCCAGGAGTTTGAGACCAGCCTGAGCAAGGTGGCAAGACCCCGTCTCTACAGAAAAAGGAAGAAGAAAGAAGGAAAACAGAACAATGGGTAATGACTGCAAAGAAGATGAAGGAGTGGGTGGAGGAGAGGTTTCTGGTGCAGGTCCTAAAAGTGGAGCACTGCAGGCTGAGCCGCGCAGGTGGGGTGCAGGGGCCTTCCGGACCAACAGGGGGAGCAGTGTGGGACAGGAGGAAGAATGTGGACTTTGGAGTCTGCATGCCTAGTTTTGAATCTTGGTCTCTGACATTTTTATTTTTTATTTTTGAGACGGAGCCTCCCTCTGTCGCCCAGGCTGCAGTGCAATGGTGCGGTCTCGGCTCACTGCAACCTCCACCTCCCGGGTTCAAGCAATTCTCCAGCCTCAGCCTCGCGAGTAGCTGGGATTACAGGCACCCGTCACCACGCCCAGCTAATTTTTTTTTTTTTTTTTTTTTTTTGAGACAGAGTCTTGCTCTGTCGCCCAGGCTGAAGTGCAGTGCACAATCTCGGCTCACTGCAACCTACACCTCCCTGGTTCAAGCAATTCTCTGCCTCAGCCTCCTGAGTAGCTGGGATTATAGGCACCTGCCACCACGTCCGGCTAAGTTTTGTATTTTTAGTAGAGATGGGGTTTCACCATCTTGGCCAGGCTGGTCTTGAACTTGACGTCGTGATCCACCTACCTCGGTCTCCCAAAGGGCTGGGATTACAGGCGTGAGCCAGCGTGCCCGGCCGGTCTCTGACAGTTCTAAATTCTGAAGCATTAGGTAAGTTTCTGACTATCTCTGAGCCCCATCTATGAAAGACTCCTAGGGTGGTTGAAATTGCACCATGTGTGCAATATCCGGCCCAATGTAGGAAACGTATAAAATGTTAGCGCCATCCCCGGGGGAAGCCCACTGAGACCCACATGAGACCTTTGTCTGTGTCTCCCCATAATGAGACCTTTAGAACTTACCAATGGCGCACCCAATACCCAACCAGTATTTTTCTGAGATAATCTGCCCGAGGTGTGTGAGAGGAAAGCGAAGAAAGGAAGTCAGGGGGATTCATTCCCGGGGGTGCTGGGTAGAGATTCTGTCTCCTCCTACAACCATAGCATGCAGGCTCCATTTAGATACAACGGGGTGGGATTGGGTTCCTGGGGAGAAATTGAGCTCCTTTGGTTCTGCGTTTCTGCGGGGTCTAAATCTGGCAGCTCCTTGGCTATCAACCCCCAGGCTTTGTGATTGGTTGGCTGTGGTTGGCGGGAGGGGGAGCGGGTGGAAGCTGCTGGTGGAGCCGCAGCATCCTTTAGTCTCAGGCCCCCAGGAGGGGGAGGGGAAAGAACCGGGGCTGAGCCGTGGAAGGAAGAGGAGCCATTTCTCTCCACCGACTGCAACCTCCGTGCTCACAGCTCACGTTTCACCAGAATCCAGGGGCCAGGTCGGCCTAGGAATCCACAATGCTGGATATTTTCATCCTGATGTTCTTTGCCATCATAGGCCTTGTCATTCTGTCCTACATTATCTATCTGCTCTAGTGGCCTGGAGCTGCGGCGGCTGGAGCCTGCTGGGGAACAGCTCAGAGGGAGGGATGGAGCTGAACGACGGAGCACCCTGCTTGCTGACGCACCAGTGGATTTTTGCTTCTGGATGTTATCTCGGGTATTGATTCAAAAAAAAGAAAGAAAGAAAAGAGAGTTTGCTTTCCTATTTTTTTCTCAGACCACTCTGAAAAGATTACGAAATGCCAGGTTCTTTCTTTGGGTCCTAATTTAAAATAAGAGTTTAAAAATTAAAATAAAATCCACAATGCAAAGGATTTTTAGGTAGAATGGGTTGGGAGTGATGGGTGTGGCGGGGAGGGAATATTATTTCCTAATTTCTTCTTCAAGTTAGGTGCTCACAGCCCAAGTTGTCTATTTTCTTCCAGTAATTAAAGGTAAAGCACATCTTTGCATGTGAGCATAGTTGCAGCACAGTTGTTTACAACTATGCTTGTATAATTGCATTACTTAATAATTGACTCATTCTTATTTGAGGGTGAGATAGCAAATAAATTTTACTTGGGGTGGGGTTTTGGGGGAGATGTCCATTTTTTCCCAACTGTGGGATTTGGTGGAGAGGAGGGAGGAACTCCTGGTGCGTGGGAGCTGATACCTTTGCAGCTGTCCCCATCTGAGCCTTTTTTGTTTCTGGGTTTCTTACAGATCCTGGTCTCCAGTCCAACAAGAGGCCTCTCATCCACAGCAGTGCTCCCGCTGCCCAGCAGACCTCTTCCAGAGCCTTCCAGACATGGCTGACCCCTGGCACGCAAGGGGCTTTTTGAGCTGAGAGGCACTTGGCTGGGACATGAGGAATTCATGGACATGGCTGGCAGATACTGCATGTGTTTGAGCTGTAGTTAGAGGGGATTGAGAATACAGAAAGTTGAAATGGAGACTCATTAAAGTTACAGTGGAGAACTGCCCAAAAATTCATTTTGAATTAAGGAAACTTCAATTCATGTTAAGCTTCCTTCTATCTAAATGCAACTGCATATTCCACTCGAATATGTTCCTTTCTTCTCACACACAGGGCCCCTTTGTTAAACTCATGGTCAAGTTCAAGTTGTCTATCTTCATCTATGAAGTAGTCACTTTATCACTGTCTGTCCAGATTGCACAATGTAGGGTTTTGTGGTTTCTCTTGTCTCACTATCCAGCCAGAAGGAACTTGTCATTTGAGTTTTTAAAATTTATCAGTTCTTTCCACCTTAACCCACTTGTATCCCAGTTTTTCATTTAAAGGGAGAAATGGTTATATAGTCCTCATCTTTGCACCTGACTGAATTGTAAATTACAGAAACAAGATGGCTATACTTATTTAGGAAAAATCTCTTACCCCAAAATGAGTGTGTGTGTGTGTGTGTGTGTGTATGTGTGTTTTAATTGTCAAAGATTTTTTCTGAAAGAAAACTCCATATAGTTCTCTGACTCATTAGAGTTGAAGAAACTATGTATTTCAGGATTCTGAGTAGAACTGGCCTGCAAATCTGGGGTGTTTATTCCTTTTACAAGTCTATCATAATTGTTCTATATTTGATTTTCCCTTCTAGCTTAAAATAAACAAGGAGAGCCAGGCGAGGTGGGTCATGCCTGTCCAACATGGTGAAACCCCATCTCTACTAAAAATACAAAAATTAGCCGGGCGTGGTGGCAGGCGCCTGTAGTCCCAGCTACTCAGGTGGCTGAGGCTGAAGAATCGCTTGAACCTGGGAGGCAGAGGTTGTAGTGAGCTGAGATCGTGTCACTGCACTCCAGCTTGGGAGACATAGCGAGACTCTGTCTCAAATAAAATAAAATAAAATGAAAAATAAATAAGGAGAAAGCTTAAATTAATAGTTTTTAGTAATAACATTGTGTCCAATTTCCATGTTTTAAAAGAAAAATTGAGGCATTATATGTCACAGTTAAAATGGAAAAGTTGGGCTTAAAACTTACAGACAAGGCCGGGTGCAGTGGCTTATGCCTGTAATCCCAGCACTTTGGGAGGCCGAGGCGGGCGGATCACTTGAGGTCAGGAGTTTGAGACCAGCCCGGCCAATATGGTGAAACCCCATCTCTACCAAAAACACAAAAATTAGGTGGTGTGGTGGGCGCCTGTAATCCCAGCCACTTGGGAGGCTGAAGCAGGAGAATTGCTTGACCATGGTAGGTGGAGACTGCAGTGAGCTGAAATCACACCTCTGGACTCCAGCCTGGGTGACAGAGTGAGAAGCCATCTCAAAAATAGTAATAATAATAATAATAATAATAATAATAAATTATGGAAAAAAAACACTATTCTGGAAGCTTTGTTTTGGCAACAAATTATGTAACCTTCCATAAGTCATTTAAACTTTAGGGTTAGGCCAGGCACTATGGCTCACACCTATAATCCCAGCATTTAGGGAGGTAGAAGTAGGAGGATAGCTTGAGGCCAGGAGTTCCAGACTAGCCTGGGCAACACAGCAAGACCCCCATCTCCACACACACACAAAATAAAAATAAATACATAAACTTTAGGTCTTCTGTTTATTCTGTCAAATGAAGTGTTAGGAAACTATATCATTGAGAACAGAATTTCCCATGGAACAAACCTTTTTTTTTTTGAGATGGAGTCTCACTCCATCACCTAGGCTGGAGTGCAGTGGTATGATCTTGGCTCATTGCAACCTGCGCCTCCTAGGTTCAAGCAATTCTCCTGCTCAGCCTCCTGAATAGCTGGGATTACAGGCACGCCACCATGCCTGGCTAATTTTTGTGTTTTTAGTGGAGACAGGGTTTTGCCATGTTGGTCAGGTTGGTCTCGAACTCTTGACCTCGTGATCTGCCTGCCTCGGCCTCCCAAAGTGCTGAGATTACAGGATTGTGAGCCACTGCACCCAGTCTGGAACAAATTCTTAATAGTTTACTGATAGTTCCCCTTTTCTGCTTATTCTCTCCAACATGACATTTTATAATGAAAATTCAACTGAAAACTACCCCCCCCTTTTTTTTCACCAACAGCTAGAATGAGAAAATGGCCATATTTATTTACTCCAAATATATATTATGTCAGTGATAATTTGCTTAAGCTGTTTAAGAAATATTAACAAGTATGATACTGCATTGTGGTATGTAACAAAAAGATAAGTAATCTGACATACATGGATGCAAGAAGCATGGCTGTGAACTTGGATATATTTTGGAATGATCTTCAATAGAGTCCTTGATGTGACATTTCCCACAAAGATATTCCTCTAACTCTGGTATAACTTGGTGTTTCAAACTACACTTTCCCTCTTCAAGCCAAGACAGCAGCTCTATGTCCTTACCTAAGTAATTCAGCCAAATGCCAGTATCTGAAGGGGTCCAAATTATAGTTATGATGGTATAGATCTTCAAGGTGTAGTCTAACCAAGCTTGCTCTGGTCTTTTGTGACATCAAGGCTTTTCAGACTGTATTCATACAAAGTTTAAAATCTAGCATACATTTAGTAAAATATTGAAAATATTCACTATTGTCAGGCATGGTGGCTTACACCTGTAATCCCAGCACTTGAGGAGGGTGAAGCGAGTGGATCACTTGAGGTCAGGAGTTTGAGACCAGTCTGGCCAACATGGCGAAACCCCATCTCTACCAATAATACAAAAAAATTAGCCAGGCATGGTGGTGCACACGTGTTGTCCCAGCTACTGGGGTGGCTGAGGCAAGAGAATCACTTGAAGCAGAGAGGCAGAGGTTGCAGTCAGCCAAGATCACACCACTGCACTCCAGCCTGGGCAAAATTCACTACTTATATTTAAATATTTACTTTTTTTTCTTTCCCTGACAGATAGTTGAGTGGAGTATATTCTCTACTTGGAATAACCAATCTTTTGATAAATCTATGCTTTGCAAGCATGTATAGGAAAAAGAGAGGGAAAAATGAAAAAACTAAGGTATTATTTTATACTCTGATATCTGCCAACTTTTAATCTTTATAATTCAGCTCCATTTATAATTCAACTGAGGGTCAATTCTTAAATTGAGAAGAAGAAAATAAAACCAGGCTAAAAGCAAGAACTTTATTTTTGCATAAATATGCAAATGACAAACTAGAGAAAAAATTCCTGCCACCAATGGAATTGCAGTTGGAAAATCCATCTAAGAAAGACAGTTAGCTTCTCACCCTCCAGAAATGAAGGTAAGTGCCTTTGCTACTGAGATACAGTAAAATCTTGTTATCACAATTTCTATTTTCTCCACAATTTTCACTCTTCCTCAGTCCTATTCATCTCTCACCAAGTCCCTCTTACCAAACATTTGCAAATTTCCCACAATTTATACCCTACTTCTACAGATACTTTCCATATTTTCTAGTGTTTCTTCCCTTCATCAGCTCCAAAGTTGAGTTAAATCAAGAGCTTGGGTAAAGAAAGCCAGCCTTTCAGAAGTGCAGGAGGAAGCAATGTGTCTTCAGGTGTAAAGTGCTCAAACCCAATGAGCAAAAAATGGGATGAGAGACCCAGGAGGACTCCAGCATTATTTCAGCCCTGTCAAGAACTATTATTATCTATTTTAATAGTAAAAGTAAGAGCAGCAGTGACTAGTCAGACTGAAATAGTCCTGCAGCTTCTTGGAATCTATATAATTGAGTGAAGAGAACTGAACCTTCACTCTCTCATGGGCTGCTGTAAACCAGCCATCCTTTTAGTTTCCTTCACCAAACCTTGTTTTTGTTTGTTTGGTTTTAGAAACAGGGTCTCACTCTGTTGCCAGGCTGGAGTGCAATGGTGCAATCATAACTCACTGCAGCCTCCAACTCCTGGATTCAAGGGAGCCTCCTGCCTCAGCCTCCAAAATTGTTGGGATTACAGGCGTGAGCCATTGCACCCAGCCAAATTTCACTTTTTAAGGTAGGGAGAAAAGCTTTAGGAAGAAGTAAAAACTATTTGTGAAGATGCTGGCAGCAGAATAGCTATTTTCTTTCATTTTATTTTTCTCGTTTGCTACATTTTATTTGAATCCCCAGTAAAAGATGATTTGATTGTATTGAGACAATATATGCCTTCCTGTATGTATAGACCTTTTATATGATTCATCTTAAAGAAGAAAATATATGCCTCTGTGTGTGTCTATATAGATATCTAGATCTATAAAGATATAGATATCTATATAGATATCTAGATCTATAAAGATAGATATCTATATAGACACACACATATACTTTATTATCCATTTGTTCATGTAAAACATGAACAAAATATAATGTTCTTTGTAAGCATACGCCAAGAAGGTGGTAAAAACTGTGATTTATATTCTACACATTCCAAATGCCATATTGCAAATCTTCACAAAACATTCTGGGCTATGTCTATACAACTTAAGCAAAGTGAACATACATACTATTTAGTGAATTTGGGTCTAACGATAAAATGGAATTTTTTCTTGCTTCAAAGATTCACACGTAGAGGTTGGCTGGTCCCAGATTCTTGGACAATTAACATTCTACTTTGGCTTGGTGGTAGGTTGACCAAAACCTGAAGAGGCAGAGCTGTTTTCCAGAGAAATCTCAGTACATTCTTGATTTTGCCTGTTATTTTTATATTAATAATGATGTAAGTAGTTGCTTCTAAAATTCTATGCAGCTTTTGAATTCTTAGGTGACTTAGATGAAAAAAGTCCCATGGATGCTATTTTTTGAGTGAAAAAGCAGCAGTCCTCTAATCATTAGTTCAGTGAGGTTCTCTAAAGGCAAGGCTTTCTGAGTATTTAGGTAGACAGAGGAGTATTCATGGTCAAATATAGAACCTCCTTATGGAAGTTAGCCTGAGCATGTACAAGATGGAACAAATTCAAGAAGCTTCTGTCATCTTGATCACGATCTCCTGTATGCCATACATAGTAGAGAAAGGAAAATGACAGTTAAAATTTTAAGCATATAATTTTATTATTTTTTATTTATTTTTTATAGACGGCGTTTCACCATGTTGCTCAGGCTGGTCTTGAACTCCCGACCTCAGGTGATCTGCCCATCTTGGCCTCCAAAGTGCTTGGATTACAGGCCTGAGCCACCACGCCCAGCCAAGCATATAATTTATTAAATTTGATTAATTAACTAATTCTTTGAGACAGAGTCTCGCTCTGTTGCTCAGGAGGGAGTGCTCACTGCAACCTCCACCTCATCTCAGCTCACTGCAACCTCTGCCTCCTGAATTCAAGCAATTCTCCTGTCTCAGCCTCCCAAGTAACTGGGATTATAGGCATGCATCACTACACCTGATCAATTTTTGTATTTTTAGTAGAGATGAGGTATCTACATGTTGGCCAGGCTGGTCTCAAAGTCCTGACTTCAGGTGATCCACCCACCTTGTAAGTATATAATTTATTTGAAACATAAGATGTTCTAATTCTCCCTAGTAATATTTAAACGGAAGACTTAAAAAAAATTTTTTTTTATTATTTTTTGCTCCCACCGTGTGGGAGGGGATTCCAGAAAACTGGAAATCCCACAGAAGACTTTTTGTTAGTGACTTTACTAAGTCAGGTTAGATACTGATATCATGGAATTATATAAGAAAAGTAGATTAGAAGTCAGAAGAAAAGGATAGTTGGCCATGCTTTATTGCTTCTAACTTTGAGAGATGAGTTAGGTAAGTCAGGTAACTTCTCTAAGCCTTAGTTTTCTCGTCTGTAAAATAGGGTTAATTATCATGTTGGTTACTTAATAAAGGTATAAAATAATACTTACAAATATATTATTATGCTAATGACAGTTGATAAGTAAGCAAGTTAATATTTTTGCTGTGCAAAATTGAAAGCGGTTCCTAGCCAGGTATGGTGGCTCACACCTGTAATCCCAGCAATTTTGGAGGCTGAGGCGAGTGGATCACCCGACGCTGGAAGTTCAAGACCAGCCTGACCAACATGGAGAAATAGAAAATTAGCTGGACGTGGTGGCACATGCCTGTAATCCCAGCTGCTCAGGAGGCTCAGGCAAGAAAATTGCTTGAACCTGGATGGCAGAGGTTGCGGTGAGCCAAGATGGCCCCATTGTACTCTAGCCTAGGCAACACAAGTAAAATTTCTTTTTATTTATTTATTTATTGAGACGGAGTTTTGCTCTTATTACCCAGGCTGGAGTGCAATGGCACAATCTCAGCTCACTGCAACTTCCGCCTCCTGGGTTCAGGCAATTCTCCTGCCTCAGCCTCCTGAGTAGCTGGGATTACAGGCACAGGCCACCATGCCCAACTAATTTTTTTTTTTGTATTTTTAGTAGAGACGGGGTTTCACCATGTTGACCAGGATGGTCTCGATCTCTTGACCTCGTGATCCACCCACCTCGGCCTCCCAAAGTGCTGGGATTACAGGCTTGAGCCATCATGCCCAGGCCTTATTTATTAATTTTTAAGATGGGGTTTCACCATGATGGCCAGGCTGGTCTTGAACTCCTGACCTCAGGTGATCCACCCACCTTGGCCTCCCAAAGTGCTAGGATTACAGGCGTGAGCCACCGCGCCCAGCCAGAAGTAAAATTTCATGTCAAAATAGAAAAAGAAAGAAAGAAAGAGAGGTTCTTTTCAGAGCAGACTCTTCAACCTTATATTCTCCATTAAAACAATACCAGATTTTTAAAGTGACAAAATCCAGGAACTAAATATATCTCAAGGAAAAACAAACAAAAAGTCTGATCCCTCTATTTACTGTTAGTTTTTTTTTTTTTTTAAGTCAACATAGGCCAGGTGCAGTGGCTCAGGCCTGTAATCCCAGCACTTTGGGAAGCAGAGGTGGGTAGACCACAAGGTCAGGAGATCCAGACCATCCTGGCCAACATGGTGAAACCCCGTTTATTAGCCAGGTGTGGTGGTGTGAGCTTGTAGTCCCAGCTACTTGGGAGGCTGAGGCAGGGGAATAGCATGAACCCAGGAGGCGGAGGGTGCAGTGAGCTGAGAGAGAGCCATTGCACTCCAGCCTGATGACAGAGCAAGACTCCATCTCAAAAAACAAAGTCAACATAGAAATAGCTTTTTTTTTTCTTGGACTGTTATAGAAAAATATCTCTGTTTTAGGTGGAGACTAGAGCTCATTTTTACGCACATCCTGTGCACCAAGTACATCTTACTCACCAGACATGATTGATTGCAGCATTTCCATTGTAATACATGCAAATGCATTTGCCACATTCTGTAGGAAGTTATTTCTTTCCACTGGAGTGCTAAAGATTTTACAGACTCTTTGCATCATTTTAACTGTCCAATCCATGCAGTATAGTTCTTTCTCACACACCTGATGTAGACATGAGAAAACATTATACATCTTCATGTGAAGAAAGCTATAGAATTTGAAAATGTTGAACAATAATGAACAATGATAGTTTTGTGATTTTACATAATTTATGATACCTGACACCATACTGAGTCTATACATGGGAAATGCTCTTTTATCTAATATTATTTTGCTTTCAAATGGTACCATTTTAACGGGAAAAAAGTATGAAGTAAATAAAAGCCTGATTTAAGATTATCATAGAATATTATTTACTGATACAAGAACTAATATTGAAAACAGGCCAGGTAATCCCAGCACTTTGGAAAGCCAAGGCTGGCAGATCACCTGAGGTCAGGAGTTTGAGACCAGCCTGGCCAACATGGTAAAAACCTGCCTCTACTAAAATACAAAATCCACACCCACTGTGGGCCGGGTGCAGTGGCACATGTCTATAATCCCAGCACTTTGGGAGGCCAAGACAGGTGGATCACGAGGTCAGGAGTTCGAGACCAGCCTGACCAACATGGTGAAACCACATCTCTAGTAAAAATACAAAAATTAGCTGGGCATGGTGGTGCATGCCTGGAATTCCAGCTACTAGGGAGGCTGAGGCAGGAGAATCGCTCGAACCCAGGAGGTGGAGGTTGTAGTGAGCCAAGATCGGGCCACTGCACTCCAGCCTGGGTGACAGAGCCAGACTCCATCTCAAAAATAAATAAATAGGCCGGGCACGGTGGCTCACACCTGTAATCCCAGCACTTTGGGAGGCTGAGGCAGGCGAATCACAAGGTCAAGAGATCGAAACCATCCTGGCCAACACGGTGAAACCCCGTCTCTACCACAAAATACAAAAATTAGCTGGGTGTGGTAGTGCGTGACTGTAGTCCCAGCTACCTAGGAGGCTGAGGCAGGAGAATCACTTGATCCTGGGAACTGGAGGTTGCAGTGAGCAGAGATCGAGCCACTGCACTCCAGCCTGGGCGACAGAGCAAGACTCTGTCTCAAAATAAATAAATAAACAAAAATAGTACTGTGCTAGGAAAGATCTATTGAGTATTTATTATGTGTAACATACTGTACTAGGAATGATAAAAGAAATGTGACACAATCCTGGATTTCAAAAAGCTTACAGTCCTTTTTGGGAGATGACCTTCCCAACACATACAATGGCTTAAGGACACTAATAGTAAATGACACTAGAGAAGACAAATCAGAGGCAGTTCAGAGAACTTCAATGATCAGAACTGAAATGTTAATCAGAGAAGGCTTTCTAGAGAAGGCTTCCCCACCCCTAGTGACTTTCTCTCCATTCCATTTGCTATAGTGCTGACAAAGTGATCTGCCAAAAACACAAAGCCAATTGTCTCTCCCCTTCATAAGACTTTTCAGTAGCTCCCTATTAGAAAATGGGTTCAGGCCAGGTATGGTGGCTCACACCTATAATCCCAGCGCTTTAGGGGGCTGAGGCGGGTGTATCATGAGGTCAGGAGTTCAAGACCAACCATCCTGACCAACGTGGTGAAACCCCATCTCTACTAAAAATACAAAAATTAGCTGGGAATGGTTGCAGTCTTCTGTAATCCCAGCTACTCAGGAGGCTGAGGCAGGGGAATTGCTTGAACCCAGAAGGTGGAGGTTGCAGCGAGCCGAGATTTTGCCACTGCACTCCAGCCTGGGCAACAGAGTGAGACTTTGTCTCAAAAAAAAACAGAAAATGTATTCAAGCTCCACAGAATGGCCCACAAAACCCTTCCTTACCTAGCCTCTCCTTTCATGTCTAACCTCACCTCCTGCTCTTCTGCACATTTTTTTTTTTTTTGAGACGGACTTTTGCTCTTGTTGCCCCAGCTACAATGCAATGGCTGATCTCAGCAACTCACCGCAACCTCCGCCTCCTGGGTTCAAGCACTTCTCCTGCCTCAGTCTCCTGAGTAGCTGGGATTACAGGCATTTGTCACCATGCCTGGCTAATTTTTTTGTCTTTTTAGTAGACACTGGGTTTCTCCGTGTTGGTCAGGCTGGTCTCGAACTCCTGACCTAAGGTGATCGCCTGCTTTGGGCTCCCAAAGTGCTGGGATTACAGGTGTGAGCCACTGCACCCAGCTTTATTTATTTTTTTTTTGAGAGAGTCTCACTCTGTTGCCCAGGCTGGAGTGCTGTGGCACGATCTCCTGCTCACTGCAACCCCTGCCTCCCTGGCTCAAGTGATTCTCCTGCCTCAGCCTTCCGAGTAGCTGGGATTACAGGCACCCACCACCACACCCAGATAATTTTTGTATTTTTAGTAGACTTGGCATTTTACCACGTTGGCCAGGCTGGTCTCAAACTTCTGACCTCAGGTGATCCGCCCACCTCGGTCTCCCAAAATCCTGAGATTACAGGCATGAACCACTGTGCCAGCCAATTAAAAAACTATATATTGTAGAGACAGGGTCTTGCTGTGTGCTTGAACTCCTGGGCTCAACTGATCTTTTGGGTTTTGCCTCCCAAAGTGTTAGGATTACTGGCATGAGCCATTGCACCCCACCCAGCTTTTTTTTTTTTTTGAGACTGACTCTTACTTTGTCACCCAGGCTGAATGCAGTGATGCAATCTTGGCTCACTGCAGCCTTGACCTCTCAGGTTCATGCAATCTTTCTGCCTCAGCCCCTCAAGTTGCTGGGACTACAGGTGCCTATGCCAGATAATTTTACTTTTTTGTAGAAACGTGGTTTCACCATGTTGCCCAGGCTGGTCTCAAACTCCTAAGCTCAAGTGGTCTGCCCACCTCAGCCTCCCAAAGGGCTGGGATTACAGGCATAAGCCACCATGCCCAGTCTTTCTTGGTATTTCTTAAAAGACTGGTTCAGGCTGGGTGTGGTGGCTCATGCCTGTAATCCCAGCACTGGGAGGCCAGGGCAGGTGCATCACTTGAGGTCAGGAGTTCAACACCAGTCTAAGCAACACAGCAAAACCCCCTCTCTACTAAAAATACAAAAATTAGCCAGGTCAGGTGGCGCGCGCCTGTAATCCCAGCTACTCAGAGGCTGAGGCAAGAGAATCGCTGGAGGCAGAGGCTGCAGTGAGCTGGGATCACAACACTGCACTCTAGCCTGGGCGACAGAGTGAGACTCCATCTCAAAAAAACAAAAACAAAAACAAAGACTATTTCAAAGCTTGTAGTCAGAATTTTTTTCTATTAGTTTTTATAGTCCTAGAATCTCATAATTTATGGCCCATAGTAAACAATCAATAAATCTGTGTTAAATGAATATTAAATATTTTTATATATGTTTGTACATGTGTGTGTGTGGGTGTTTTGAGAGAGTCTCGCTTTGTTGCCCAGGCTGGAGTACAGTGGCACAATCTTGTCTCACTCTAACCTTGAACTCCCAGGCTCAATCAATCCTCCCATCTCGGCCTCTTGAGTAGCTAGGACCCATGTTGCCACCATGCCCAGCTAACTTTTGTATTTTTTTGTAGAGACAGGTTTCACCATATTTCCCAGGCTAGTCTCAAACTCCTGGGCTCAAGCAATCCTCCTGCCTCAGCCTCTCAAAGTGCTGGGTTTAGAGGCATGAGCCATCCTTCTCAGACTAAATATATTTTTAAGACTTTTTATTTTGAAACATTTTGGCTATACAAAATTAGAGAGAATAATATCTACTCCTAGTATTCACTTCCCAGTTTCAACAATTACCAACCTTGTTTCAACTCTACCCCCGTTTATTCCCAAGTCCTTTCCCCATCCCACTTCCATAGTGATTATTTTGAAGCAAATCAAATGGGATGTTTTCTTTAAAATGGAATTTAAAAAATATATATATAAAACTTAGCATGACTGTATAATGACAATCCAGACTTGAAGTGGGGAGAGGTTAATAGAAGGGATGATTCCAAATATTATAGTTTATTAGATGTGTTTTAATATTTTGAAACAGAAATATTAAAAATACATACTTTAATGCTCATTTTTAGAAAATGTTTTGTGCACGTTTCAGTTCCTTCAGCTCCTTAGTAGGTCAATTGTAGTGTTAAACAACTCGCTAGAGAAAAACTTATTTTTTACTTACCAAAGCCAAAAAGACTATGAACCTTGCCAGTTCAATGGCCCGTCCATTCACAGCTTTACTAGCCATGAAAGTGAGACAGATGTTGTTTCCAGTTAGCATTAGGAGACGTGCATTATTCTCTAGAAGCCACTCATGGGGAACCACTTTTATTAGAGGAAGAACAGTTATTTAATGAGAAATCACACAACAGCTATAGTAAACACCATTAAGCATATGCAATATTATATCACTTTATTGGAAGTACAATTAGTGCCAAGGGAAATGCTCATAAAAAATGCTGTAGTTTTCCAATTATGGCTTTCAGTTAGAGACAGATTACTGCCATGTCATGGAGGCTCTTATAAATATACTAATAATATAATCAAAGCAATTCTCCTACACATAGGTCAGCAGGCAAAGCAGTCTAATCCTGTGCAAGGAAAGTAACCTTGGAAACTTTAGAATCTAAAGGATTATGCAGGAATGGAAAAAATTGTTTCACCTCTCGTTTACCTGCAGAAGAGGGCTTCTTACAGAACCTAGGAGGTTGTTTCTGAGAATTTACAACATGGGAGTAATTGAGCTAATTAAACGAAGAGGCTTTCAAATAATAATAATAAATATTTATTTATAAAACTGACAAGCAAAAGAAATTGATTATATGTATTCTTGTCAAACATAATGCCAAACTCTTCAAATATTTTAGAGCATTAAGTAATTTCCAACAGGCACATCATCTGTTACCTGTAGAATTACCCTTACAATTTTGTAACTGTATTTTAACAATAAATTTCTATTATTCTATGTTAATAAATATATTTTTTACCTGATAGTTCATCTACAAGACTGATGACATCATCTGCTGTCCACTCTTTAGTGCCAGAGTCATATAATAACTTAATGGCATCAGCCAAACCTTTCAGATTGAATTCATCTGCAGGTTCTTCTATCATTTTCTGCCAAATCACCTGTCCTGAATTGAAAGAAAAACGAGGCTATGACAGAATAGTTGGCTTTATGATAAAGACTTGTTTAAAAAGGAAAGTGAATTGCATAATGGAATCTCATTACTTATACGAGCTACTTTCATTTTAACTTTCATAACGAGAAGTAAATCCTGGTAACAGTATAGATATGAACATTTCTGGCTGGATGTGGTGGCTCACACCTGTAATCCCAACATTTTGGGAGGCTGAGGTGGGCAGATTGCTTAAGGTTCAAAGTTCGAGACCAGGCTGGCCAATATGGTGAAACCCTGTCTCTACTAAAAATACAAAAATTAGCCAGGCATGGTGGTGCGCGCCTATAGTCCCAGCTACCCGGAAGGCTGAGGGATGAGAACTGCTTGAACCTGGGAAGCAGAGGTTGCAGTGAGTGGAGATTGTGCCAATGCACTCCACGCTGGGTAACAGGGCAAGACTGTCTAAAAAAAATATGTGTGTGTATATGTGTGTGTGTGTCTATGTATGTGTATGTTTGTGTGTGTATGCTTCTTAGCCATGCACAGTGGCTCATGTATGTAATCTTAGCACTTGGGAAGGCCAAAGTAAGAGGATCACTTGAGCCCAGGAATTTGAGATCAACCTAGGTAACAAAGTAGGACCCTGTCTCTACAAAAAGTAAAAATCTAGCCAGGTGTAGTGACATGGGCCTGTAGTCCCAGCTACTAGGGAAGCTGAGGCAGGACGATCCCTTGAGTCCAGGAGTTTGAGGTTGTAGTGAGCTAATGATGCCACTATACTCTAGCCTGGGTGACAGTGCAAGACTGTCTAAAAAAAAAAGTGAGTGTGTGTGTATGTGTGTATATATGCTTCCTAAAGTAAAAATAATGAACCCCAGTTATGTAACATACATCCCTGAAAAATGGGTGCTCACCATCCTGAGGAGATATTGGCCCAAAGATGATGTACAGTAATCTTGCCTGGTTCACCATTGGCCATGGTTTTAATATTCGTGTCAACCAAAAAGCAGAATCATTTTGATGTGTCCAATGATCAAGCAGGACATTCCTACAGAAGAGTCTGATCCTTAATTCCAGTTTTCGGGCACTTCCTATGAAGGCAAAAGAATTGTAAATCATTCTTCCTAGAAAGGCTGCTGTGCATATTGAATAGTGATCAAATCAACTTATTAACCATTATGATTAGTGATAGTAAACTAGATTTCTAAACAGGGAGTAACCAAGAGATTATTCTTAAACTACCCTAACTTCATAATTTGTCTATCTACTTACTTACTCTTACCTTCCTGATTTATAGTCAATACTTTGAATAATGGGTCAATCAAAAGACATGCTTAAGCTTATCAGACTCTTGTACAATTTTGGATTTAAAAATAATAAATTTAGAGAAAGGTCAAAGACATACATCATTAATATACTTTGTACTGAAAGTACAATTTCCCTCTATGAAAGATTTTTTTTTTTTTTGAGACAGAGTTTCACTTTGTTGCCCAGGCTGGAGTGCAGTGGCATGATCTTGGCTCACTGCAACCTCAGCCTCCAGGGTTTAAGCAACTCTCCTGCCTCAGCCTCCTGAGTAGCTAGGATTACAAGCGCCCGTCACCACACCCAGCGGATTTTTGTATTTTTAGTAGAGGTGGGGTTTCACCATCTTGGCCAGACTGGTCTTGAATTCCTCCTTCAGACTCTTCTTGAAATCCTCCCACCTTGGCCTCCCAAAGTGCTGGGATTATAGGTTTCAGCCACCGTGCCCGGTCTCATCTGTGAAAATTTTACGGCCAGGTGTGGTGACTCATGCCTGTAATGCCAGCACTTTGTGAAGCTGACGTGGAAGGATCACTTGAGGTCAGGAGTTCAAGATCAACCTGGCCAACAAGGTGAAACCATCTCTACTAAAAATACAAAAAATTAGCCAGGCATGGTGGCACATGCCTGTGATCCCAGGTACTTGAGAAGCTGAGACAGGAGAATCTCTTGAACCCAGGAGACGGAGGTTGCGGTGAGCTGAGATATCACCACTGCATTCCAGTGTGGGCAACAGAGCTAGACTCTATCTCAAAAAGAAAAAAAAAAAAAAAGAAAATGTTATGTTGCTATTGTTAATAGATAAGAGGTCTTGCTCTGTCACCCAAGCTGGAGTGCAGCGGCATGATAGATAATAACCACCACAACCTTGAACTCCCAAGCTCAGGCAATCCTCCCACCTCAGCCTCTTGAGTAGCTGGGACCACAGGCTAATTTTATTTTTTGTAGAGACAGAGATCTCACTATATTGCTCAGGCTGGTTTTGAACTCCTGGACTCAAGTGATCCTCCCACCTTAGCCTCCCAAAGTGTTGGGATCATGAAGCATGAGCTACCACACTCAGCTACAAAAATTTTAGATTAACACAGGACTACTTTTTCAAAAACCTTACTGAGATATAAATCACATACCAAACAATTTATCCATTTAAAATGTACAATTCAATGGTTTTTAGTATATTCACAGATATGTGCAAGCCATCACCATAGCCAATTTTAGAACATTTTCATCACTTCAAAAAGACATTTTATTCTTTTCGCGATCATCCTGTTAACTCTCTGTCCTTTACCACCTCCGGCCCTAAGCAACGAATACTCTACTTTCCATCTCCATAGATTTCCCTATTCTAGATTTTGTTTTTTTTTTTTTTGAGACAGAGTCTCACTCGCCACCCAGACTGGAGTGCAGTGGTACGATCTCAGCTCGCTGCAACCTCTGTCTCAAGTGATTTTCCTGTCTCAGTCTCCCGAGTAGCTGGGATCCGAGGCGCTCACCAGCATGCCTGGCTAATTTTTTTTTGTATTTTTAGTAGAGATGGGGCTTCACCATGTTGGACAGGCTGGTCTCAAATTCTTGACCTCAGGTGATCCACCTACCTCAGCCTGCCAAAGGGCTGGGATTACAGGTGTGAGCCACTACACCCGGCCCCTATTCTGGATTTTTGTATGAACGAAATAATATAGTATGTGGTATTTTGTGACTGGCTATTTCACCTAATACAGTGTTTTCAAGGTTCATCTATGTTGTAGCATATATCAGCACTTCATTCTTTTTTTTTTCTTCAACTTTGAAGTTCAGTGATATATGTACATGATGTGCAGGTTACACAGGTAAATGTGTGCCATGGTGGTTTGCTGCACAGATTATTCCATCATGTAGATATTTATTTATTTATTTTTATTATACTTTAAGTTCTGGGATACATGGGCAGAACGTGCAGGTTTGTTACATAGGTACACATGTGCCATGGTGGGTTGCTGCACCCATCAACCCATCATCTACATTAGGTATTTCTCCTAATGTTATCCCTCCCCTTGCTCCGCACCCCCCATCACCTAGCTATTAAGCACAGCATCCACTAGTTATTCTTCCTGATTCTCTCCCTCTCCCAACCCCCACAGCACTTCATTTTTTTTTTTTTGAGATGGAGTCTCACTGTATCGGCCAGGCTGGAGTGCTGGAGTGCAGTGGCACTATCTAAACTCACTGCAACTTCTGCCTCCTGGGTTTAAGCAATTCTCTGCCTCAGCCTCCTGAGTAGCTGGGAACACAGGCACGTGCCACCATGCCCAGCTAATTTTTTGTATTTTTAATAGAGATGGGGTTTCACCATGTTGGCCAGGCTGGTCTTGAACTCCTGACCTCATGATCTGCCCACCTTGGCTTCCCAAAGTGCTAGGATTACAGGTGTGAGCCACTGTGCCTGGCCACTTAATTTTTTTTAATGGTCAAATAATATTCTATGGTATGGATATACTACTACATTTTATTTATCTATTCACACACTGATGGATATTTGGGATGTTTCCATCTTTTGGCTAATATGAATAATGCTGCTATTAACATTCATGCAGGCCAGGTGTGGTGGCTTATGCCTATAATCCCAGCACTTTGGGAGATTAAGGCGGGCAGATCACTTGAGTTCGAACATGGTGAAACCCGATCTCTATCAAAATATACCAAAAATATTAGCTGGGCATGCTGGTATGTGCCTATAGTACCAGCTACTCGGGAGGCTGAGGTTGGAGGATTGCTTGAGCCCAGGAAGTAGAGGATTGCTTGAGCCCAGGAAGTGGAGGTTGTAGTGAGCCAAGCTTGTGCCCCTGCACTTCAGCCTGAGTGATAGAGCTAGACCATGTCTCAAAACAAAACAAAACGACAATAAAACCATTCATGCACAAGTTTCTGTGTGGACATATTTTCATTTCTCTTGGGGCTATATACCTAGAAGTAAAATTGGTGGATCATATGATAACTCAATGTTTAATCATTTGAGAAACTGTCAGACTATTTTGCAAAGTGGCTACACTGTTATACATTGCCTCCAGCAATATATGAGGATTGCTGTCACATTCTCACTAACACTATCTAAAACCAACTTTCTGATTCTAGCCATCCCAATGGAATGAGAAATGGTATATTACTATTTCTTTGCTTTTCTTAGAGTGTCTCACTCCATTGCCCACACTAGAATGCTGTAGTGCAATGATGGCTCACTGTAGCCTTGACCTTCAGGGACTCAAGCGATCCTCCCACTTTAGCCTCCTGAGTAGCTGGGAGTACAGGCACATGCCATCACACCTGGTTAATTTTTTTTATTTTTTGTAGAGACGAGGTCTTGCTATGTTGCCCAGGCTGGTCTTGAACCCCTGGCCTCAAGTAATCTGTCTGCCTTGGCTTCCCAAAGTGTCGGGATTGCAGCTGTGAGCCACGGCACGTGATCCACTATTCATTTATTTATCGAGACAGGGTCTCACTCTGTTGCTCAGGCTGAGTGCAGTGGTGTGATCACAGCTCACTGCAGCCTCGACCTCCCAGGCTCAAGTGATCTTTTCACCTCCAGCCTCCTGAGTAGCTGGAACCACAGGCATACACCACCATGCTTTGATAATTTTTTATTTTTTTAGAGACAAGTTCTCACTATGTTGCCTAGGCTGCTCTTGAACTTCTGGGCTAAAGTGATCCTCCCACCTTGGCTTCCCAAAGTGCTGGGGTTTTAGGCCTGAGCCACCACACTTGGCCAAAATTATTTTTAAATACATTTTGAAAACTCTGTTTTTTTTTTCTATTTTAATCTCTGTATAATATTATGTGCAAATTGTATTTTTTTTTTACCTGGTTTGCTGCAGACAACCATTTGCATCTTGCGGCAGAGATTGGTCAGTTCGCATAAGAAATTATAAACGCGATGGCACTCAAGTTCATCCCAACCTGCTGTTAAGGTCTGAGGAAAATAAAATAAAGGAAACATTATTGATGTTCAGACTATCAGACTGAAACATAAGTCACACTGGGCATGGTGGTTCACGCCTGTATTCCCAGCACTTTGGGAGGCCAAGGCAGGCAGATCACCTGAGGTTAGTAGTACAAGACCAGCCTGGCCAACATGGTGAAACCCTGTCTCTATTAAAAATACAAAAATTAGCCTGGCGTGGTGGCAGGTGCCTTTAATCCCAGCTACTCAGGAGCTGAGTCAGAAGAATTGTTTGAACCCAGGTGTCGGAGGTTGCAGTGAGCTGAGATCATGCCATTGCACTCCAGCCTGGGTGACAAGAGCAAAGCTCTGTCTCAAAAAACAACAACAAACACAACAACAAAAACAAAAGTCACCACCATCTTATGAGTGTAACTGTTTTTAGCACATGATTAAGGTGATGTACAACTTTTATCCATTATAGAAGTATGAAATTAATAACAAATTTACATAAACAAAACTTGGGAATCTCCAAAATCCTGTTGTTTTTTTTTTTTTTGGTTGGAAAGGAAATATCTTTTTAGAGAACTTTTTTTTTTTTGAGATGGAATCTTGCTATGTTGCCCAGCTTGGAGTGCAATGGAGAGAACTTTTTTGTTTGAGCAACACTTAAATGGTACTGAATCCTGAACTTTGACAATATGAGGCAAATAACAAAATAAGGGCAAAACCCTGAATGCAGTTTAGATATCTGACTCACAACCATGCTATGGATTTAAGATTAGAGAACCCCTTTCACCCTGCCAGTTGGCATTTATGATACTGTTTATAAATAAGAGTGATTGAATTTCAGTGTGACAATTCTGAGCATTTATGACTTTTTGTAATTTTATTTTCTTGGTAGAGATGGGGTTTTGCCATGTTGTCCAGGCTGGACTTGAACTCCTTACCTCAGATAATCTGCCTGCCTCGGCCTCCCAAAGTGCTGGAATTACAGGTATGAACCACTATGCCCAGCTATTTATGACTTTTGGATGTGAACAACCAAAAAACTTACTGGCTGGGCACAGTGGCTCATGCCTGTAATCCTAGCACTTTGGGAGGCCAAGGCAGGTGGATCACCTGAGGTCAGGAGTTCAAAACCAGCCTGGCCAACGTGGTGAAACTCTGTCTCTACTAACAAAACAAACAACAACAAAAAAATTACTATGCGGAACAAGAACATAAAAGAAAAAAAAGATTACAGGTGGCGGGCGCCTGTAATCTCAGCTACTTGGAAGGTTGAGGCAGGAGAATCACTTGAACCCAGGAAGCTGAGGTTGCAGTGAGCCGAAATTATGCCACTGCACTCCAGCCTGGATAACAGAGTGAGACTCCATCTCAAAAATAATAATAATAATAATAATAATAATAATAATAATCTGGCCAGTTGTGGTGGCTAATGTCTGTAATCCCAGCACTTTGGGAGGCTGAGGCAGGAGGATCACCTGAGGTCAGGAGTTTGAGACCAGCCTGACCAACATGGCGAAACCTTGTCTCTACTAAAAGTACAAAAATTAGCTGGGTATGGTGGCGCATACCTGTAATCCCTGCTACTTGGGAGTCTGAGGCAGGAGAATTGCTTGAACCTGGGAGGCAGAGGCTGCAGTAAGCTGAGATCACACCACTGCACTCCAGCCTAGTGACAGAGCAAGACTGGGCCTCAGAAATAAATAAATTAATTAATAAAAATTAATCTTATTCCCTGTAGGAGGACATACAAGAAACTGCAACCGTGATTATTTATGGTGAAGGGAACTTAGTGGACAAGGAGGGAGACTTTTTACTTTATACATTTTGTACCCTTGGAATTGTACATGAATACATATGTATGTATTACATGTTCCAAAGAAAGAAAGAAACAAGTAAAAAACAAAATTAAATAGGAAAAATCTGTCTTGGAAGAGTTGGGGGCTGGTAGGCTGAGCAGAGCAAGATTCTTATGGGTGCAGTGTCTATCTCACAAGGTTGTTGTAGATTTAAATTAGTCAATACATGTTGCCAGGTGTGGTGGCTCACGCCTATAATCCCAGCACTTTGGGAGGCCGAGGCAGGTGGATCACGAGGTCAAGAGATCAAGACCATCCTGGTCAACAAGGTGAAACCCCGTCTCTACTAAAAATACAAAAATTAGCTGGGCATGGTGGTGCGCGCTTGTAATCCCAGCTACTCAGGAGGCTGAGGCAGGAGAACTGCCTGAACCCAGGAGGCGGAGGTTGCAGTGAGCCGAGATCGTGCCATTGCACTCCAGCCCGGGTAACAAGAGTGAAACGCTGTCTCCATCTAAAAAAAAAAAAAAAAAAAGATAAATAAAAATAGTCAATACATGTAAACTGCTTAGAACAGTGTTTGCCACATAGTATGCTGAATAAATGCTAATTATTATTTTCTTTGTTTACAACAAAAGATTAGTCAAAATGTTATTGAAATAATACAACTGATTACTAGTATCACACTTTAAATAACTAGGCGAAGATTTAAAACTCATTATATAGACAGATATAGGTATCTGCAGTGTTCGATCTTGGCTCACTGCAACCTCTGTCTCCTGGGTTCAAGCAATTCTCCTGCCTCAGCCTCCCAAGTAGCTGGGATTACAGGAGCATGCCACCACGCCCGGCTAATTTTTCTATTTTTAGTAGAGATGGGGTTTCACCATATTGGTCAAGCTGGTCTCAAACTCTTGACCTCGTGATCCCCCCATCTCGGCCTCCCAAAGTGCTGGAATTACAGGCGTGAGCCACCGTGCCTGGCCAAGGATAACAATTTTTTAGGAGGAATAACCTTCATTCAGGATATAGAATGGTTTGGGGGATAAGTAAATGTCAAACATTTTTTTATCACTGAGAAACTCAAAATGAAAATCTGAGATAGCAAACACACTATTAGATTAATACATTCTCAATCTTTATAATTTTATTCTGCTCTTTTTAAGATTGTTATAACTTTATTAACCTATGAAAAGAGAGACTGCATACTGTTTGAAGTTCAAAGGTATCCCTTTTCTTCTCTCATTAAAAAAAGTACCTGTAAAAACATGCCATAACATGTGAATCCTAAACACTGCATAGGAGCTGCACAGCCACTGAATTTAAAGCAGGAAACCTGTAAAGAGAACAACTGTTAATGCCTCCTTTTCAGTGTAACTATAGTTTGACAATGGTGGAACGATGGTTTGACATTCAAATTTAATGGAAATAAGCAAGAATTTTTTCCGTACCTATTCTGATCTGCACTGTGTTACGTAGGTGGGGATTATAAAAGAAGTAAAAAAGCGTCTACTCTCAAGGAGCTCACAATTTATTTAATAATAATAATAATTTTTATTTTTTGAGACAGAGTCTTGCTCTGTTGCCCACACTGGAGTGCAGTGGCATGATCTCAGCTCACTCCACCTCTGTCTCCAGGTTCAAGTAATTCTGGTGCCTCAGCCTCCTGAGTAGCTGGAATTATAGATGTGCACCACCATGCATGGCTAAATTTTTATATTTTTTGTAGAGATGGGGTTTCACCATGTTGGCCAGGCTAGTCTCGAACTCCTGATCTCAGGTGATCCACCCGCCTTGGCCTCCCAGAGTGCTGGAATTACCGGTGTAAGCCACCACACCTGGTCCACAGTTTAAGAGAATAAGATATAGACATGTGAATTTATTATAATAATTCAGGTTAGAATACATATAAATGTTAAGATGACTGAGCAAAGACTATATCAGACAATATGAAAACAGTATATGCCAGGTGTGGTGGCTCACGCCTGCAATCCAAGCACTTTGGGAGGCTGAGACGGGTGGATCACCTGAGGTCAGGAGTTCGAGGCCAGCCTGGCCAACGTGATAAAACCCCGTCTCTACTAAAAATGCAAAAATTACTCAGGCGTGGTGGAGGGAGCCTGAAATCCCAGCTACTTGGGAGGCTTAGGCAGGAGATTCACTTGAATCTGAAAGGTGGAGGTTGCAGGCTGGAGGAATGAGCTGAGATCGCATCACCGCACTTCAGCCTGGGCAACAAGAGTGAAACTCCATCTCAAAAACAAACGAACATACAAAAAAAAAAAAAAAAAACAAAACAGGATAAAGATAAATTTGGGAATGATCAGAAAAACTTATGAAGAAAACGTGAAATAAGCAATGTCTTAAAAGTTAGTGGCTCATGCCTATAATCCCAGCATTCGGGAGGCTGAAGCAGGAGAATCATTCGAGCCCAGGAATTTGAGACCAGCCTGGGCAACATAGTGAGACCACATCTCTACCAAAATTAAAAAAAAACAACTAGTCAGCCAGGTGCAGGATAAAGATAAATTTGGGAATGATCAGAAAAACTTATGAAGAAAACGTGAAATAAGCAATGTCTTAAAAGTCAGACGTAAAGAATGGAAAGAATTGGTGAGAGAAACAAAAAGAACAAAACCATATGCACATACAACTATGTTTATTTGAATGACCAATTTAATTAGGCTCAAAGAAGTGGAAAGTAAGGTGGCATTGGTAGGACATTAAATACCAGCAACAGGCTTTGTTTTTGTTTGTTTGAGACAGGGTCTCACTCTGTCATCCAGGTTGGAGCACAGTGGCATGATCAGAATTCAGTGGAGCCTCCAACCCATGGTCTCAAGCCAATCCTTCCACCTCAGCCTCCCAAATAACTGAGACCACAGCCAGGGCCACTGCACCTGGCTGACTAATTGTTTTTTTTTTTTTAATTTTGGTAGAGATGTGGTCTCACTATGTTGCCCAGGCTGGTCTCAAATTCCTGGGCTTGAATGATTCTCCTGCTTCAGCCTCCCAGAATGCTGGGAGGATGGTCTGTGTTAGGATGGTCTCAAGCTCCTGACCTCGTGATCTGCCGGCCTTGGCCTCCCAAAGTGCTGGGATTATAGGCATGAGCCACTGTACTTGGCCAGCAATGGACTTTGGACCCTATCTTGTCAAAAAATTGAGTAGCCATTGAAAGTTTGTTCTGTTTTGTTTTGTTTTTTTAGACGGAGTTTTTGTTCTGTCACCCAAGCTGGAGTGCAATGGTGCAATCTTGGCTCACTGCAACCTCCGCCTCCTGGGTTTAAGCAATTCTCTTGACTCAGCCTCCCAAGTAGCTGGGATTACAGACACCACCAGGCCTGCCTGGCTAAATTTTGTATTTTTAGTAGAGATGAGGTTTCACCATGTTGGCCAGGCTGGTGTCAAATTCCTGACCTTAGGTGATCCACCTGCCTTGCACTTCTAAAGTTCCAGGATTATAGGCGTGAGCCACTGTGCCCAGCAAAAGATTTTTATACAAGAAAGTTATGTTGACTGGGTGCAGTGGCTCATGCTTGTAATCTCAGCACTTTGGGAGGCCAAGGCCAGCAGATCACGAGGTCAGGAGCTTGAGACCATCCTAACACAGTGAAACCCCATCTCTACTAAAAAAGAAACAATTAGCTGGGTATTATGGCACGTGCCTGTAATCCCAGCTACTTGGGAGGCTGAGGCAGTAGAATCACTTGAACCTGAGAGGCAGAGGTTGCAGTGAGCCAAGATTGCACCACTGTGGTACTCTAGCCTGGGTGACAGAGCAAGACTCTGTCTCAAAAAAAAAAAAGAAAGTTATGTTGATGAGTGTGATGCCTTAAGAAGATTAATCTTGATTCAGCAGCACACAGAAGGGTTTGGATCCAATAAATTGGATGGCAGAAAGATCATCTGGGAAGCTGCTACAATAATATAGACCAGAACTCAATGCAAATGCTGACATGAAAAAGTCAGTGCATCAAAAACAGTGGATATTATTGAGTGTGGAACTGAACCATCAGAGTTGGATGTGTGCTTAGATTTATATATTAAAACTGAGTCTTATAAAGAGACTATGCCCAAACATACCGATACACATTTCCAAGTCTATTATCATAAAAGGTTTGTCATTTTACATATTAAAGGCACTTTCCTATGTTTCTATACATTTAAACAATAAAATTGCAACATTCAGAAATTATTTCACTTTAATACAATATCTAAATCACTACTTTAAAACTTCCTTAGGATTTATATTTAATGTAAATAAACTTTATACTCTGGAAAACATAATAAACTTGAATGATGTACTTAGTTATATATGAAAATTGTTTTATAATAAGTAAAAGATTACTATATTTTGACATTATATAATCTCTAAGTACTTGGTAAAGTATTAGATTATCACAAATCAATTTTTTAGTGCTAATTCATGAAATCCTATTAATATAGAGTAAAATGAGCATAAGATAATAAATTATCTTTACTGGAAATCAAGATTGTAAACTAATTTAGAAGTATGATATTACTTCTGTGAGTATCTTGTGAATGTACTTTAGCCTTTCCTTGGTGGGTAACAGCAATGTGCATCTTTTAAACAGTAGACCTAAAAAAGTAAAGAGACACAAGTAAAAATGACAACAATACAACTAATTTAAGAATATCAATAGGGCACAGAATAATGGTTCCTGAAAGTCAAGTACGGTATATCACAGTGGACTATGAGTTGATATGGGTTTTAAGAGTAAGTTTGGGAGGAAGGGTGCAAACACTTACCATTTATGGTATTTACCAAGTGACGCTGATGCTCATCTAAGAGGCCTTGGCATAAAATCTTGCAAAAAACTGTGAAATTGCTACTATAGGACACATGGAAAAACATGTATATTCAAAAAGATAGAAAAACAAGACAAAGACACACTAGAGAAATTTTATTTTGTCTTTATTCCATAGAAAGCAGATTTCAGTATATCTTCAAATTAACCTCATGTCCACAAAGGAAAATGTTTTAAGAGCTGTTAATCTAAAACATGGAAAGAGTGATAAAACAGATTTTCTTTCTTTTTGTTTGTTTTTGAGACAGGGTCTTGCGCTGTTGCCTAGGCTGGAGTGCAGTGGTGTGCCATCATGGCTCACTGCAGTCTTGACCTTCTGGGCTCTAGCGATTCTCCCACTTCAGCATCCCAAGTAGCTAGGACCAGGGGTGTATGCCAGCAAGCTCAGCTAATAAAAAAAATTTTTTTTTTTTTCTTAGAGATGGAGGCTTGCTATGTTGCCCAGACTGGTCTCAAATACCTGGGCTCAAGTGATCCTTCCACCTCGGCCTCCCAAAGCACTGGGATTATAGGTGTGAACCATCATGTTGAGCAGAAAAAACAGATTTTGTATCCCTGTCTCCAAATACAAAAATTTAAGTCATAAGTACTTAAAATTTCAGAGGCTAGATTTTTTTTCCCCCACAGAAAGTATCCAGTTAGGATGAAATATCCATCTCTTCCTTCAAAGATATCCTTTTATGGGACTTGCATGTTAAGAATGTATAGGATTTTGTGTAGATACTTTAAAAAGAAAAAAACCCTCAATTTCTCAGTGAGATATGTAATTTGCACTACAGTGACAGGAAATGTATGATTTGTTTCCCCTAACTTTAAACATTCTATTTTCCTAAAATGGCAATACGTTGTTAACATTCCTATGAGGGCAAATGTCCTCAAACTAAAAATAAGAGATATGGTAGGAAAATATATACCTGAACCTCATGACTTTCTTCAGCTTTCATCTTCTCCGTATTTACTTTTTAACATAAGATTATAATTACTTTATATAATCCTGAAGAATCTATAGGAGTCTAACTTTAGAAGTTGCTATGTTTGGCCGGGCATGGTGGGTCACGCCTGTAATCCCAGCACTTTGGGAGGCCGAGAGATCGAGACCATCCTGGTCAACATGGTGAAACCCCGCCTCTACTAAAAATACAAAAAATTAGCTGGGCATGGTGGCGCATGCCTGTAATCCCAGCTACTCAAGAGGCTGAGGCAGGAGAATTGCCTGAACCCAGGAGGCGGAGTTTGCAGTGAGCCAAGATTGCGCCATTGCACTCCAGCCTGGGTAACAAGAGAGAAACTCTGTCTCAAAAATGAAAAAAAAAAAAATAGAAGTTACTATGTTTGAGTAACACATAAATAGAATTGAGTTTTAAACATAAGCCCTCTTTATTTTTGTATAAAAAAAAAGATATTTTCAAACATGACAACTAAGGGGAAAGAAAAAAAACCAAATTTTTCAATGTTTGGTTTTTAAGCTGAGTTCTTTCCCTTTCATACTTTGGTATCCAGTTCCACAGTATATCATAACTAAAGAATTCTAGGCATTAATTCTTAGAATTCTACTCCTGGGCACAATTGATCCTACTGCCTCAGCCTCCTGAGTATCTGGGACTACAGGCCTGTGTGACTGCTTCCAGCCTTATTTTGGTATGCTGGTTGCCTAATATAAAACTCCTGTTTTTAAGGATTACAACTTACCATGAAACCCAATACTGACTGTTAAAAAAAAAAAAAAAACCCACAGGTGCTCTGCTGTACCCTTTAGAGACTTACTTTTTTAAAGTTATTCCCATGAAAATAGAGTCAGATGTAACGTGCTTTCCACACTGGCCATCTGCTCTGTTTTATATGAAGAAGCAAATTAAAATTTATAATTGGCTGAGAACAGTGGCACATGCCTGTAATCCCAGCATTTTGGGAGGCTGAGGAGAGACGATCACTTGAGGACAGGAGTTCGAGACCAGCCTGGCCAACACAGTGAAACCCTGTCTCTACTAATAACATAAAATAGCTAGGCATGGTGGTGCATGCCTGTAATCCCAGTTACTGGAGAGGCTGAGGCATGAGAATCACTTGAACCCAGGAGGCAGAGGTTGCAGTGAATCGAGATTGTGCCACTGCACTCCAGTCTGGGCGACAGACTGTCTCAAAAAAAAAAAAAAAAAAACAACGAAAAACCTTCAGAGCATAGGAGATATATATATATATATATATATATATATAAAATAAAAACCATATATATTATATATACATATATGAGACAGGTTCTCACTCTGTTGCCAAGGCCAGAGTGCAATGTCACAATTGACTCACTGCAGCCTGATCAAGTAATCCTCCCACCTCAGCCTCCTGAGCAACTGGGACAACAGCTGTATGGTGCCACCATGCCCAGATAATTTTTTAATTTTTTGTAGATGGGTCTCCCTATGTTGCCCAGGCTGGTTTTATTTTTTTATTTATTTTTGAATACCTCTCTGATGCCTGGGAAAGGCTGGTTTTAAACTCCTGGGCTCAAGCGATCCTCCCACCTCAGCTTCCCAAAGTGCTGGGATCACAGGCATAAGCCACTGTGCCTGGCACAAAGCACAGGATTCTGAAAATCTTATTTTAATGTCTGAAAATAAGGCAGGATGCAGTCACACATGCCTGTAGTTTCAGATACTCAAGAGGCTGACGTAGAAGGATCGATTATGCCCAGGAGTACAAGGCCAGCCTGGGCAACACTGCAAGATCTCATCTCAAAAAAAAAAAAAAAAAAAGTGAAAACAATAATAGATCGGTTAAGAATGACATGAAAAAATGGTAAGTATATCAAACATTTACTTAAAGAATCAGTCACAAATCAAGTGTTTGCATCAAAATTAAATGGAAAGTTGAAATCATTATATGAATAAAACAATTTTAAAAAGCTAGCCATTAAGATCGATACATATTTGTACTTTTTACTGTTTTTGTTAGTTTGTTTAAGCAATTGAGGCTTGATCAGGGAGAAAATTTCTTTCAGATCAAAACCAAAGTATAAGCTCTAATATATTATCCAAGTACCACTTTCTCTACAATTAATGATGATAATTTTTTTCCTTTTCCTTTTCTTTTTTTTTTTTTTGAGATGGAATTTTGTTCTTGTCGCCCAACTGGAGAGCAATGCAATGGCACGATTTCGGCTCACTGCAACCTCTGCCTCCCAGGTTCCTGAGATTCTCTTGCCTCACCCTCCTGAGTAGCTGGGATTACAGGTGCCTAACAACACACCCAGCTAATTTTTGTATTTTTAGTAGAGACAGTTTCACCATGTTGGCCAGGCTAGTCTCAGACTCCTGACCTCAGGCTATCTGCCTGCCTTGGCCTCCCAAAGTGCTGGGATTACAGGCGTGAGCCACAGTGGCTGGCTGAAAAATGATATTTGCAATGAGAAGTAGGAAAAAGTAGTTTCCATATTGTGTTACAGGCTTAACTAAACCTAATAATAAATACTGAAACCAACAACACTGTAATCAGATCACATACTTTTCTTTCATTTGGTCTTATTAAATACACCGGTAATCATCAAATACAATTGATGTATTTGATGATATCCACACACTCTTATTATCTTAAATCTAAGCATCCTTGGGCTACTAAAAGGCAGTATTCACTTAACTTACTATTATGCCTTTATTCAAATCACACCATCTTGATATTTGGCTTCATTGCCATGCTTTGATGAATTATAAAGCAGTTTCATAGTGAAGTTGGTGTTATTAGTCAAGTCAAAATTAGAAGTTTACATCAGCACTCTCTATTCATTGATTTCAGGGATGATGAAATCAATGAATGGAGTAAAAGACATAAATGATTATAAATCAAGGAAGAAAGATTATACAGACTTTGCTTTGATAAGGTCAGTTTAATTATAGCATAATGACTTAATTGTAAATGTACTTAAAAAACCATAGTTTCTGGTGAGAGGATAAATAATCTTCCAGAATAATGTGTTTAAATTTCTATTTTTAAGGACTAGATTATGGTTGAAAGGGAAAAGAGATAAAACTCATTCAATCCACAGGAAGTGAAGCATCAACTTCCTAAACTGGTGAGCCACTAGAGTTAAGCATAGATGATGTTGTATCTATATGAAATCAAAAGAACTGACACTTTACATCAAAATGCATTTTCTCACCTTTAAAAATAACTGTGGTTAAGGGAGTATTCTCACTTTAAAGAGTAAAAGCATCATAGAAACAGGCACATTTTAGAAAAATTCAATTTCCTACTGGCCTTACACAATTGTATACTAAATTTCTCTTAATGAAGCATAGTTCTTTACTTGTAATTTTTATTATGCAAGTTACCTAGAGATCTGTAGTGCTCCAGTATAGCAGAGTCTTGTCTCCTGCCAGGCAGCTCAAGGTTATGAAAGTCCTGTAGTAGAAGTCTTTTGCGTCCTGATGAGGTTGATATATAATTAACAATATGGTGGCTGACTGTTTTAGACACCATGCTTAGCATGCTGATATCCTTCACTACCAAAAGAAATATATAGACACATATATATGTATGTATCAATGGCTTAAATGCAAGAATGTCACTATTAACACAGTCTATTAACTTATAAGTTAACTCAATCATCATCACTATCACCATCATCATCCCAGTGGGAAAAAAGGGAAAAATCTTAAAATTCTTTTAAATCCAGTTCTCAGTGAATTAGAAACATGTTTGGATTTACCAATCAAGGTACTATGTCATAATTACAGGCATGCTTTCCAGAGTTTTAAGTATTGCTGTGCTCAAAGGAAGATTAAAAAAATAATTTAAGTGTCATGCTTTCTCATTGTACTCCTTACCTGACAATAACAAAACTTTAGAAAATAAATAAACTTAACATGAATGTCATTAACATTTTAGCATGGCCTAAGATGACAAACTGGTTCTTGGGGAAAATTACAATATTTTAGTGTCTTGTGTAGGCTACTCATAAGTTTTCAAACCTCACCTGACAAATATTTTAAAATTATTTGGAATATTTCCAATGGTAAGGCTTTAAAATTTCCAAATGTTGATATGGGTTGAAAGCCTGAGCCAAGAGTCTTGGAGTAACAGCTGGTTTGATGATTACTACGTCTATGTTTCTGGTTGGGAATCAAAGTGAAACTGGTATTTATTCTGGATGCCATTCTTCTTGTCTCAAAAATTTATCCTGGTCAGAAAAACAAAGCACAGGAGACAAGAAAGAAAGAAAATTAAAGCAAGGAAGAGCTTTTTTTTTATTATTAAATGAAGAGATTGATAGTTTGATATGCAATAGCTGTTTCTCCATATTTTCAAAGGTTTTTTTGTAGCCCAGGCTCGAGTGCAATGGCACAATCTCAGCTCACTGCAACCTCTGCCTCCTGGGTTCAACAGGCCAGTAGCTGGGATTACAGGCATGTGCACCATGCCCAGCTAATTTTGTATTTTTAGTAGAGACGAGGTTTTGCCATGTTGGCCTGGCTGGTCTTGAACTCCTGACCTCATGTGATCCACCCACTTTGGCCTCCCAAAGTGCTAGAATTACAGGTGTGAGCCACCAAGCCTGAAACCACTTACTTTATTAGAACTAAAGCTTAAATAGTTTTAAAGTCTCTATTTTCATATCCTTTTTTATTGCTTCAAACAAAAAAAGTCAGTACTCAGTTTTAAAGGAATAGAAAAATATTACTATAAAATTTTAAAGTTACATTAATACTTTAACTTTTTAAAAGAATATAGGCTGGGTGTTGTGGCTCACATCTGTAATCCCAACACAAAAAAGTAGGTGTCATTACTATTATCAATTATGTCCTGTATAATACTCAAATAAGCAGTAAATTAAAGTCTTTCTTTTGAGTCAAGGTCTTGTTCTGTTGCCCAGGCTGGAGTGCAGTGGCGTAATGATAACTCACTGTAGCCTCAGAACTCCTGCACTCAAACAATCCTCCTGAGTAGCTGGGACTATAGGCACAGAGCCACCATGCCCAGATAAAGTGGAAAAAAAATTTTTTTTGTCGAGACAGTGTCTGTCTATCTTGCCCAACCTGATCTTAAACTCCTGGTCTCAAGTGATCCTCCCACCTCAGACTCCCAAATTGCTGGAATTATAGGTATGAGCCACTGGGCCTGGCCAAGTCTTACATAATTAATAGGACTAGAATAAATACATGAATAGTATAGTAGTAATTCTTCCCTCAATTCTCCATTCTGTTAATAATAGACACTGGCTGGCCGAGGTGGCTCACACCTGTAATCCCAGCGCTTTAGGAGGTGGAGGTGGGTGGATCACCTGAGGTCAGGAGTTGGAGACCAGCCTGGCTAACATGGTGAAACCCCATCTCTACTAAAAATACAAAAATTAGGCTGGGTGCAGTAGCTTAAGCCTGTAATCCCAGCACTTCGGGAGGCCAAGGCGGGTGAATCACCTGAGGTCAGGAGTTTAAGACCAGCCTGAACAACATGGTGAAACCTTGTCTCTACTAAAAATACAACTATTAGCTGGGCATGGTGGCATGCACCTGTAATCCCAGCTACTAGGTAGGCTGAGGGAGGAGAATTGCTTGAACCCAGGAGGCAGAGGTTGTGGTGAGCTGAAATTGTTGCTCATTGCACTCCAGCATGAGCAACAAAGCGAGATTCTGTCTTAAACAAAAACAAACAAAAGAATAATAATAATAGTCACCGGTGAATCTTAGAAAGGGCCTACGCAACTTGATTTCAAAGACAAATATTTCCTAAACTTCTTTTTTTTTTGAGACTAAGTTTTGCTCTTGTTACCCAGGCTGGAGTGCAATGGTGTGATCTCAGCTCACTCGAACTTCCGCCTCCTGGGTTCAGGCAATTCTCCTGCCTCAGCCTCCTGAGTAGCTGGGATTACAGGCACGCGCCACCATGCCTGGCTAATTTTTTTGTATTTTTAGTAGAGACGGGGTTTCACCATGCTGACCAGGTTGGTCCCGATCTCTTGACCTCGTGATCCACCTGCCTCGGCCTCCCAAAGTGCTGGGATTACAGGCTTGAGCCACCGTGCCCGGCACCACTAATCCTTTAAACATATATACCACACAGTGACTTTGTATCACTCTGTTGTTCTAATTCAGAAAACAATGTCTTTGGTGTATATATACATATATGTATATATGCATAATTACAACTCCAATCTAAGGCTCCTTGTTTCTGAAGTAACAACTAAGACATTTTCATCAACGAGATATAAATGTATCTGGTTAAAATGCATTTTCTCCTTTGCTATAAAATTGCTAAAGTCACATTGTTATTGATCTTAAAAAGTTACATATCAACTTACATCAGTTTAAAATTGGTTACACATTTGAAAACATAACAGAGAAATTTAGCTTGTAGTGGAAAGGACACTCTAAACCTCTGAAACCATATTGCAGCACTTGGTGTCAGTATTCGGTGAACATTTAAATTACGAGATATTTTAAAATAATCATTAAAATTACACAAATAACTTATCAACAACTTTACAAAATAAGCTAAACGAAAAGAAGAAAATTAAGTTCACTTATAAACACCTTGGTTTATATCATTGCAGACTTTTACATACATGTATTTCTTTTTTAACAACAAAAAAGGGATCACTATTCATACTACTTTGTAATCTGCTTTTTTCAGTGAATTCTCTTCTCATGCTAATAAATGTCCTTCTACAATTAATCATATTTTAATTACTTAGTGTGTCATTCCACCAAGTAAAAGAATCTTAATCTGTTTAATCTATAAGGTCATTTCTAACTTTTTACAGCAGGCGTTTTAAAGCATTTTTATTATAATAACATAAATCTGGCCTTGGCTTTGACCTGTTTTCCCTGAGGACTGTGGAAAGTAGGACTTGGGCCCAGGGCTCTTCAAAGACTGTCACCAGGTGGGAACTTCAGTGTGTCAATTATGAACTATATATACATTTAAAATAAATATAAATAAGGCTGGGTGCAGTGGCTCGAGTCTGTAATCCCAGCACTTTGGGAGGCCTAGCTGGCTGGATCACCTGAGGTATGGAGTTCGAGACCATTCTGGCCAACATGATGAAATCCCAACTCTACTTAATACAAAAAATTTATCCAGGCATGGTGGAAGACAACTGTGATCCCAGCTACTTGGGAGGTTGAGGCAGGGGAATCACTTGAACCCTGAAGGCAGAGGTTTCAGTGAGCCGATATTGTGCCACTGCACTCCAGCCTGGGCGACAGAGCGAGACTCCATCTCAAAATAAATAAATAAAAATTGAAAAATTATAAACCCAAATTCTTTTAAAACTCAAGTCTCCACTTAGAGTTCCTTATTTTCCTCACTCAGACCTGGAGGTTTTGCAGGGAAAAAGAACGTTTTTGTGAACATTCTGATGGTATAATAATAAATTATTTCTGGTTTCTGCTCACCCCTCTAGAGATTAAGGATCACAGCCCCAAATGATAATAATAAAATATGTTTCATGCCCGCTCTTCCATCCCACTAATTCTGACCGCACGTGAAAGGTTCTGAGGGGCTCAGTTTGATGAACTTCCCCACCTTTAAGATAAAAACTAAATTCACAGGGATTTCTGTTTTAATATAAAATCCTTGAAAGGGCCCCACCCCATCTGCCGGGCAGCTGCCCCTAAACATCTCCAAAGCCGCAAATAGGGAAGCCTAAAGGAGAAATTGGCTAACAGGAGAATCAAACCGCAGGGGGTACATCGTTTGCTCCCTTCAGTCATGAAAGATGAAATTATCTCAATAAAGTACCGGGGGAAAAACACCTCTTTTACCACAGATTTTGACAGTTTTCCGGCTACAGAGTCACAGGAAAGTGGGAGTTAGTCGTTTTGCCCCACCGTCCTCAAATTTCTTAGTGTTTAGAAAAGAAACTATCTCCTCACGTTCTTCCCGCCAGTAAGTGAGAGGGTCACACTCCCTTACGCTCCAGAGCTGAGGCCCCATTCACCAGGCGCCCTCGCAAACTCTAGAATATTGTAGAATCTTCCCAGGAGCCCCAGCGGGAAGGAGGCCCCGCCCCCTCATAAATAGCAAGAAGCCTCAGCTCTCGTAGTGCCCGCCTCCCTCATGAATATTGTAGACCTTCCCAGAAGCCCCAGCCGGAAGGAGGCCCCGCCTCCTCATAAATAGTAAGAACCAGCTCCCATGGTGCCCCCCTCCACCCCGTCTCATAAATAATTAACAAGGGCAAGGTCATGGAGTCCAAACTCAGGCCTCAGCCACCGTTTCGCTCCAAGCTGAGGACGGGAGGTGGGACGCAGGTTGGAGCCCTTATGGTATGGAGGAGGCGAGGGTGTAGCCTAAGATCTTGAACCCGGTGAGCCATGTCTCTGCCCCCACTGCCTTTCCTTTCACCTAGCTTTGAGATATCTTTTGAGTCCATCCCACTCCCACTCACCCCAGTAGGGCAAGTTACAAAGGGTTTCATCAAACTTTTTGGTGGAAAAAACCTCCAGACATTCCTTTTTAAATCTGTCTTGTGGGGGCGGTGGCTCACGCCTGTAATTCCAACACTTTGGGAGGCCAAGGCAAGAGAATCCCTTGAGTCCAAGAGTTCTAGACCAGCCTGGGCAACGTAGGGAGAACCCCCCCACCCCGCCCCGTCTCTAAATAAACAAATAAATAATAAATCTGTCTGAAATCAAGGGAAGATGTATGTGTGTCTCCAGCCTCTCAACATGAAATTAAGACAAATCTTTCTGGCTAGGCCCTTCTGACTAGATTACATTCTCATTTATTTATTTATTCATTCTGTAACTGTTTATTGAAGCCTGCTCTGGGCCAGGCACCAGAGTAGGCCCTAAGGATGGAACAGAGAACCAGACAGATAAGTTTCCTGCTATAATGGAGTTTATTAGCCTACTGGGGAAGATAGAATAAACAGAGCATGTACAGATGGTGACAGCAGCATGACAGAGGAAGTAAGACAGAGTGACGGAATGTGTGTATGTTGGTGGAGAGCTACTTTAGATGGAGTGATCCTCAAGGTCCCTCTGATGCGACAATTTGAGAACTAATGGAGGAGAAGGAGCCAGTCAGGAGAAGGGCTGAGGGAAGAGGGAATTGGGGGAAAGATTCTACTTTTGCAGACCAACTTTACATTATACCCAATACAAAATATACAAGGAACTACACAAAGGTGAAACTTGGGGTTAGTTGGCATGCTGTTATTTTATATAGTCACAAATATTCATCTGTTTTGGCTTTGCATCCTTTTTTCCCCTGACTTCAGGTGATCTGCCCACCTCGGCCCTCACAAAGTGCTTTGGATTACAGGTGTGAGCCACTACTTCTGGCATTTTTTTTTTTTTTTAAATAGAGCCTTGCTCTGTCTCCCAGGCTGGAGTGCAGTGGGTCGATCTTGGCTCACTGCAGCCTTTGCCTCCTGGGTTCAAGCCATTCTCAGCCACCCAGTAGCTGGGACCACAGGTGTGCACCATCATGCCCAGCCTTGTATATTTAGTAGAGACAGGGTATTGCTATGTTGCCCAGGCTGGTCTCAAACTCCTGGGCTCAAGTGATCTGCCTGCCTTCCAAAGTGTTTGGATTAAAGGTGTGAGACACCAGGCCCGGCCCTGGCTTGGTATCCTTTTGCAGCCAGCCAATTTTTTTTTTTTTTGAGACAGAGTCTCATTCTGTTGCCCAGGCTGGAGTGCAGTAGCACCATCTTGGCTCATTGCAACCTCCACATCTCAGATTCAAGCAATTCTCCTGCCTCAGCCTCCAGAGTAGCTGGGATTACAGGCATCTGCCACCACACCCGGCTAAGTTTTTGTATTTTTAAATAGAGATGGGGTTTCACCATGTTGGCCAGGCTTGTCTAGACTCCTGACCTCAGGTGATCCACCTGCCTCGACCTACCAAAGTATTGGGATTACTGACATGAACCACCATGCCCAACCAGAGCCAATTCTTTTTTTACCCTGTCTCCAACATTGATTAGAGGTCCTTGACCAAGTCTCATCCCCTTGGCAGTGGGCCACATGCACAGAATGAAACAAGAATCCTGAGTGGTGAGAATTTAGATTTTACTCAAAGTGCCATGGGAAGTCCTTAAAGAGTTTTAAGCAGAGAGTGAAATGATCTGATTTACATCATTGAACGATTGCTCTGGCTTTTATGTGGAGAATAAATGAGGCTAGGAGTGGAGGGTAATATCTGTTAGGATGTTGTGGGACTAGAACGGTGGCTCTGAGGGATGAGTTTAAGATATATTTCCATGGTAGAATTAACTGAATTCACCCAATGGACTGGATACAGGTGGAAGGAAGGAGATAGGGGATTCCCAGATTTCTGACTTCAATAAATGGGTAGAAATTAATCCCATTTACTGAGATAGGCAAGTGAATTTTCTTAGTGGAGTTTTGTTTGTTTTTGTTTTGTTTTCTTTTGAGGAACTAGGTCTCACTCTGTTGCCCAGGCTGGAGTAGAGTGGTGCAATCACAGCTTACTGTGACCTGGAACCCCTGGCCTCTAGCAATCCTCTCACCTCAGTGAAGGGCTGAGATGGAGAATTAAGAGAATTCTAGTGGAGAATTAATTTTCCAAATGGTGAATTTGGGATTTCTCTGAGGCATCCAAGTGAAGATGTCATGTTAAGGAGGCAGTTGAATTTAAAAAGCAGAGTACTTTTGGAGGAAAATGCCTGGACTGGTCATATACATTTAAGGATTGGAAGAATATACTTGTAAGCATTAGAGAACACTCAGACATTGGGAAAAGGAGGACAGGATCTCAAATGAGGTTGAAAAGGAGCATCTAGCAAAGTGAGCTGGAGAAAACCAGGAGAGTATGGGGTCACAGAATCCCGAAACAGGGGTGCTTCAAGAATAAGTAGCCCACTGTGAAAAGTGCCACCCAGTTGAGCAAGCTGTCTGTTATATGAGTATTGCAGGTGTCTGCTGGACTTGGCAATCCAATTTAGGTACAAGCACTGCAGGTCCACCTTGCCATTTCCTATTTCAAGAACCCATAGTAACTTTGCCTTGCCAGCCACCTGAAACTCACATCTCTCTGCTATTTTCATCAGTGTCCTCTATGATCTAATCCTCACCTAGTCATTCATCTATTTATTAAATTCAATCCGTGCCTATTTTCTGCCAGGCCAGTGTTAGCTCAGGATAAATACCATTTTAGCCTTCCAATGGCTCATACTCAGAGCACCCAACTTGAATAAATGTAATCTGTTCCTTCCCAAGGAAACAAACATGCTACTCCAGCAGGGGTGGAGGAGGTATCTCCTCCTTAGCAGATTTGCCCCTACCTCTTTGTGCTGAAACTCCCATCAAAAATGACTTCCCTCCTTTCTAAATCTCTCTCCAGGATCTGCTTTAGGATTCACACCCTGGCCAGGCGTGGTGGCTCATGCCGGTAATTCCAGCTCTTAGGGAGGCAGATTTGGGGGAATAGCTCAAGCCCAGGAGTTCAAGACCTGCCTGGCAATATAGTGAGACCCCATTTTCCACTAAAAGGAAAAAAAGAGACCAAAAAAAAAAAAAAGATTCACACCTGCATGAATAAGCATGTCTTCTCACCTAAGTGATGCTGTAAACCCCTTGATATGCGTTGTATCTCTTTTGTATTCTTCACATAGAAAAGAACACCAGATACAGAGATGGATCTACCACTAGGCCATGGAAACTTAAGCTTCAGGGTTCCTTGCTTACTCAGGCCCTTTCCAAGGCCCTGTACCTAATTTTTTTTTTTTTTTTTTGAGATGGCCTCTCGCTCTGTTGCCTAGGCTGGAGTGCAATTGCACATTCTCACCGTAACCTCCATCTCCTGGGTTCAAGTGATTCTCCTGCCTCAGCCTCCTGAGTAGCTGGGATTACAGGCATGTGGCACCACACCAGGCTAATTTTTGTATTTTTAGTAGAGATGGGGTTTCACCATGTTGGTCGGGAGGCTGAGGCAGGAGAATCACTTGAACTCAGGAGGTGGAAGTTGTGGTGATCCGAGATCATGCCATTGCACTCCAGCCTGGGCAACAAGAGCAAAAACTGCATTTCAAAAAATAAATATATATATATATATAGTAATAGTTGTACGCTTGTTTTATTAAGTCAGAATAATTTTGCCAGGCATGGTGGCTCATGCCTGTAATCCCAGCTTTGGGAGGCTGAGGGAGTCGGATCATTTGAGGTCAGGAGTTTGAGAACAGCCTGGCCAACATGGAAACACTGACTCTACTAAAAGTACAAAAACTAGCTAGGCATAGTGGCATGCACCTGTAGTCCCAGTTACTTGGAAGGCTGAAGCAGGAGAATCCCTTGAGCCCAGGAGGCGGAGGTTGCGGTGAGCTGACATTATGCACTCCAGCCTGGGCAACAGAGTGAGACTGTCTCAAGAACACCCCAAAAAACAAAAAACAAAACCTTCAGGGAAGGAGATTTCAAAGATTTCTTTCACTAAAACAATATATTATTTGGCGGGTGAGGGGAGTGGATTAGTGCTCTGTTGCCTAGGCTGAAGTATGGTGTGTGATCTCGGCCCACTGCAATCTTTGCCTCCAGGGTTCAAGCAGTTCTCCTGCTTCAGCCTCCCAGGTAGCTGGGATTGCAGTTATGTGCCACCACACCCAGCTAATTTTTGTATTTTTAGTAGAGATGGGGTTTCACTGTGTTGGTCAGGCTGTTCCTGAACTCCTGAGCTCAAATGATCCACCTGTCTTGGCCTCCTAAAGTGCTGGGATTACAGGTATGAGCCACTGCGCTCGGCTAGATTTTTTCATAAAAATATTAATTTAGGCCAGGCGTGGTGGCTTACATCTATAACTCTAGCACTTTGGTAGGCTAAGGTGCAATTATTGTAGGCCAGGAGTTCAAGACCAGCCAGGGCAATATGGCAAGACTCTATCTCTACAAAATAAAAAATAATAATAATTATCTGGGCATGGTGGCACATGCCTGTAGTCTCAGATACTTGGGAGGCTGAGGCAGAAGGATCACTTGAGTCCGAGAGTCTGAGGTTGCAGTTAGCTGTGATTGAGCCACTGCACTCCAGCCTGGGCATCAGA